TCTCCATTCGATGTATTTCATTCTCATTGTTTGGCCTTCGGAATCCTCGTCACCCTCCCAAAAGGATGTATTCCGATGTAAATTGTTATACAGCCTCCGACAATGACATTCCTCCTATAGAGGCCCCCCCCCCCCCCCCCCACCCGGCAGAATACCCAAAGGAGGTGAGGGGTCCCGGGCTCAAGGCCTCTCAGACGCTCATTTGAATCAACACAATTTCTCCAGTTGACGTTGCGCACAAGAATACTTAAGTGACCCTGCGGATATGACGCATGCAATAAACTGCTTGATGTGAGTTAAATGAAGCTTCACCCCCCCCCCCCCCCCCCATAAAAACACACACACACACACACTTTAAACGGGCGTACTGGACTCTGCAGAAAGGGGCCCACAGGACAACAGCTGGGTGGGAAACTGGCAAAATGGGGGTAAAGTTTACAATGGAGTCACACCCCCCGGGGCCCAAAAGGGGTTCGCTGTCCCGGGGAAAAGTAAGTTTTGAATAAATTCCAATCCCGCTGTGTGTTAACGCCTGAAGGGCCCCTTAAAGGGCGGGGGAGAAAGAGGGGGGGCGGTGCTTGTTAATGGGGGAGCTTTTTTTGTGGATCATCACATGCCTCTGCACTGAGGTCAGCTGGCACAGCTGGATCCTTTAAGGTCCAGGGTCCAGCGCCGGCGAGTTTTACAGGATTAAAATTGAGCTCTTGAAGAGTTTTGTCCTTTTTTGGTACTTTGAGTATTCTGCCTCACTGAAACATGCTCATGAATTTATCTTGTGCTTCCCCCCCCGTCCTGTGTTCTGTTGCTTTTTGTAAAAATCCACAAGGATGTAAATACGTTTATATTCGCTATTGTACCCGCTGGCTTGTCTGAGTACAATTTTTTACAAAGGCCTCTCGATGTTTAACTCTGCTCAGTATTTTCACTTTTAGAAGAGCAGAATTCCCCTAAAACTTCCCAGCGTTCTGCGCTCTGACCTTGACGGTCTGCAGAGAATGCAGGGTTCGGTTTTCCCGTGTGTACTCGGCCTCTCCTGTCCCCGGCGCTCTATTTACCAACCTTCCGGCTAATCATTAACGCGGCGTTAAAAGCTCCTGGAGAGGCCGGCGGCAGGTGCTGTAAATCCACCCTCAAGTACAACGAGAAAACCCCTTGAAGCGACCTACAGAAATCAACGCAGGCCGTCGCGCTCACTGTCTAACCGCCGGTGTTTTCCGGCTCGCGCGGTCAATAATGGCCTCGCCGTTGCCAGCTAGGGGGGGGAGGGAGGGAGGGGTTGGGATCCATGTGAGACCACCTCCCTCCCTGTCCCCGGCGGAGGGGCGTTGAAGACGGAGGCTCGGAGTGGATGCCCCCCTTTATCCACCCGGGGGAAACGGGGTCGCTCGCCGTGCACTCGGCTCCGGATGAGTGAGCAGATTACCAGTCGCCTCGAGTGCCGGCGTGAAGCACTTTTTGTTGTCTTTTTCTTTCGCTTGTCAGCGGACACACGAATCAGTCAATTAGCCACGAGGGTGTTTCTGCTTGTTACAGGGGCGGTGGAAGTTTTCTTTACGGCCAGTAGGAATATCCCCAAAAAACTTGTTAACTCTGTGTTAGAAAAACAAACTTAGCTTGGTTTGTTTTTTCACCCCACAAAGAAAGAAAACTACCTTTCTGTCCTCGGGGGAGTGACGTCATGTTTGAAGCTGCCAAGGCCGGAAACGAGGAATGTTCTTGCCAGATGAACGTCATAGATCATGTAGTTGCAGGTACGGTTTAGAGAAATATCTCGAGACGATTCAAGATGTGATTCATTGTCCGTTGACTTCACATTCATGGGATTTTGACACGTGAGTCAGTGTGAATCAAGCGGGAGCGGCTGTGCAAAGGTCTAAAACGACAGAAGACAAGAGAACAGGCGAGGGCTTGTTTCACCGGCGGGATGTTCTGTCCTAGGTTCCTTTGCTCGGAAAACTGATGCAACTCTTACTGGCCGCTAAAATGTTCTCCAGTGAGAGAAAGTCTGCACTTGCCGCTTTACGAGAACCATTTGCATGCTGAACATAGGTGTCCTTTGCCTCTGATTTGGTTAGAAACCAAAAGGCCACAAGCCAGACACAAGAGCACGGGAGGAACCTTGGCGCGACCTCTGGGTTTCTCTCTCGGAGCCCCTGTTATTTCATCTGAAATAGCCATTACGGTGTGTATTTCTCGCCGCGGGTATAAAATCCCTCGGCAGCCCCGGGGGGGGGACGGAGAAGGTAACCTGTAAAATCCCGAAAGAACGCCGCGGTCTCTCAGCTTTGTGGCTTTTTGTGGATGAATCTCGCCACTTTTTGGGCACGCGAGGGCGGAGTAGGACGTGTTGTGATTGCCGTATTCTGAGTATTTATACATATAGTTCAATTGTCATTGCGCTCAGCAGCGAACAGGCTGCACTTTTAGACTTCGGGAGGGAGGACAGCGATGGCTTGTCACAATTTTGCATAGAGGCTGGTTTGCATGAACTGACGACATTTGAGTCGCGTCTCAAAACACCGCCGTCGTGGCTGTATGAGGACGCGTTGAGATGCTCTGGGAAGGAGGTGCCAGTGCCGTGTTCCCGTGACGGGATCCCACCAGCGGAGGTCACGGTAGGACGTCAGTGGCGTCTCTTTAGGCCGCCACTACTCAAGCATGCTCAGACCGAGGACTCTGCTCATAAAGAAACGCTTTGTGCGCGACGCACGTGCAAGAGGAGTTAATAACCAGGTGCCCGGGCCGTTCTCTTTGTGGTTTTTCCATCCACCTTCTGCACCACCTTATTAGGCGCCGCCTGCCACTCGCATCACCGTGATGTCAGAGGCGGACGGGTCTTCCTCAACCGTCTGCTTTGTTCGCTGCGGTGCGATAAGCTCGAGTGTCGACTCGGCGTTATTAGTTCTAGACCGATTAGTCACGGAGCCCCTCGGTGAGTGAGCGAGTGTCCCGTCTGCCCTCAGCGACGAAGTGGAAGCACTCACCCATCACGCATCCTCAAACTCACTGTTTGTTTGTTTTCTAATCCAGTACAGGGCGACTGGGAGCGCTAGGCTGTTTTTGTTTGGGCTGCTTCCGAGCATATCCGACTACGTTGACGCGAGGGGGTCATTTGTTTTAGCGTTTAAGAGGAGGAAAGGTCACGCTCGTGGCGTCTGCGCACCTTTTGTCTGTTAACCTTGGCCCAGCGGACAGAACGCTAGAATTCAAAGAACTTCCATCGGCGTGTGGGAGGGTTATTTTTTCTTTTTTATTATCTGGAATTCCAGAGATTCTTCTCAGCAAGAACATCAGCAATCTGTTCACACACGCCAGCAGCTGACGTGATGTGATGCATTAGTAAGCGGTCTTACTGGTTGACACTTAATGGACTTTGAAAAACATGCTGTGAGTTATTGAGGTTTAGATGCGGCCTGAAGTTTAGTCCAAATACTACACTGTCCCTGTGGCCTGGACTCGGTTAATGGTTACGTCTGCGCGTTAACAGCTGTGTTGATGCGGTGCTCACACAAAGGAGAGCGTTGTGGTTCCGTCGAGGTGGTGTACTTTGTGAAATTGGGGTGTGCATATGTGAAAATCAGTGGCTCCACTGGAGCGGAACATTTCTGAGTATCTACCGTTACATGTAAATCCTGATTCAACAGGTCTGACCACCGAGCGGGTGGGAAGGAAGTGGATTCGTCTTGATGAAGACACAAATCTTTACAAATTGCTAGGGGTGGGAATCTCTTGGCACCTTACGATTCGATTCCGATTCAGAGGTCAACGATTCGATTCTAAACCGATTATCGATTCTAAACTGATAAAACGATTATCGATGCATCGCGATTTTCTACATTTTCTCAAATCTGAGTTTGCTACTCAGAGGTTGCTAATCACTTCCTACTTTATTTGATAATTAAAGAAAATCAACAGATGAATTACCTTCTCTAATTTTTCATAAGAGAAAAAAAATTATTATTATTAACCTTTCTGAATCATCGAGAACGAATCGTTCTAGAGAGAATCGAGAGAAATCGAAAAATCGATCCAACGGCAGATAAACAAGCGCGTTTGTGTTTCTGTGGTTCCATTTTTGCGGGATTTTGTTTTCCTTGAGACTTTGGTCGAGAGACAAGACCAGTAGCCGGCATACAGCCGCGTTTTTTAAACCAATAAAAATGAAAATAGCCGGCGGGTTTGAGGATCGTTTCGGTCAGACTGTTCCGCCTCTTTCTTTCTCCACAAAGGTCGTTAAGCTGCATTTAACCTCAAACTTGATTAGTTAATACTACACTGACTTCAAACAACCGGTTTATAATGTCTCACACTGACAGGCCAATGTTTAAAGCGTATATTTGAGCACAGATGTTATATTTAACGAGCCGTTTTTGTAGAAAAGGAGACTGTTTGAACTAGTTGGTGCTGCTCACTGGTTTCCTGTTATAGACTTTTCCCTGAGGTTGTTACCAAAAAAATCTTTGGCATTTGTGCTTTAAAGAATGTCCTTACAGGAGCCGGTGAAGCTAATGCTAACGGATGCCGTGCATACCTGTGATTAGTCTCAGTCCGTTGCTGCAGTCGCTGCAGGCCAAGTTGCCCGAATGTGACAAAACATTTGGATTTATCACGGATTGTGTGTTCATTTTCCCCGTGTTCGGCATCACGTCAGTGGCCTAAACGCGCGCACAGGAATAGGAACACAAGCATCCCGTGACACCGACATCTCCTCTAAATAAAAGACTTTGTAAACACTTGACAGTCTTAACAGCTATCTGCGGGCCCAGCTGGGTGCTGGAGTCAACGTGTGCGTGCTCGAGTTCAAGATAAGTCCGGTAGTCTCCAGTGGAGCGTCGGGTCCGGTTCTTAAGTTCGAATTTGAGCAGGTATGTACTTTCCGCAAGGCGATCCCGTCGGGACCCATGTTGTTCACTCGTTCTATGTGGGCCCATCCCTTCGAAACTTGGATTTGACTGCATTCTGCAGCATGGCATCTCAATGATGGCGAGATATTTGCTGAGTGGTTGACAAGGGATGAGGAGGACGAGGATGAAGGGAGGAGGAGGAGGAGGAGGGGGAGGAAGGGGGTTTTGCATGCCGGGAAGCAGCAAAGTGCAAAGACAGGAGCAGCAAAGGAAGTAGGCGCTGAGCGGTGGTCGGTGGTCCGCTCGCCAGCCCGCCCGTTTCTCCCAGTGAGGCTCTGGATGTTGTTGGGACGCGTTGGTGTGGAGGAGGAGGAGGAGGGAGGGGGGAGGGGGGAGGGGGGGTGACGAGGCTCTCGTGAGCTCAGTGCTGAGTCGTGGAAAGTGTGAGGGTGCCAGAAGGTGCGTGCGTCTGAGTGAGCTGAAAGGCTTCTTGACTCCTCGTGTGAAGCTCATCATCCCGCTGCGTCCTGCGGCACTTCTCGTGTTCTCGTGGGAAATACTTCTCTTGTTTGATACACTTAATTCCAGATGTAAAAGGTTACATGGACTATAAATAAATGCAGTCCGCTTGTTGATCCTGAATCAATTTGGTCGCAGCTTCTTCCAGTTTGACCGAAAACCTTGAACATCTGGATTGTGTTTTCAGCTACAGGCTGCTGACCAACGATGCACCTAAACATGTTCATGTTACAACCTGTAACATCACTGGGGAGACAGTTTATTTCACGCTACATCACAAACCAATCATGCCTCCCCACCAGGCAACTAATCTTTTAATGTTTTGCGTAGTGTTTACTTGTGCCCGGTGGATTTTCATTTATTGGGCTTACGGTGCAATTACGCGACAAAGCGGCATTTCTTTAGCTTGGAAAAATGGTTTTGACCCTTTTTGCCCTGTGAATAGTTGGAGGAAATGGAGCTCTGTGCACAGTGGCTCCTCAGTGCTCCTTTCTCACACCACCATGACTTCATATGTTTAGGAAACATTCCCCATATGGCCAGGAAGGATGTGAAACTGAATATGGATTCCGTGTCTCTTGTATTCAGACGTGGTTCAATAAAGACACACAAACAAAGCTACCGGCCCACTTTTTAATCATATTATTTCTCTCTTTTCCCATCAGTTTCCTGCCTCTCTGTGTTTTTCCAAGGTTCAGCCCTCAGCAGCCGGGACCGCGGGAGGAAATGGTCGGCTTTTCCACAGAACGTGCCGCGTTTAAATTAGGCCACGTCGGGAATGATTTGAGCCGTGCGTATTGCAGCGAACCCGCTCTTCCGTGTCTCTGAGCACTGAGTGAGGACGCGGAGCTCTGAGCCGTCTTCCATTGATTTGTGGGCGCCGGTCTGTTTAATGTCACAAGAGTTCTCCGCATCCCGAATTGGGCCCCCGACAGTGTCGGTCCTGCTGTTTGAGAGCGCGTCTGGTTTATAACGGCGTTACACTACTTGATGTCAATGGCAGACAAAAATGGTCTCAAGCTCCCCAAATCCTGACACCTGCCCTGCGTCTCTCTCTCGCCCGTCCCAGAATCCCCTCAGTTGTCGTCGCCCCTCTCCGCCGGCGAACATGAGCGAGCGTACAGCCGGCTGTGCGTGGAGCTTCCGGAGGGAGACGGCGAGCGTCCGTTGAGCCTGGCGTCCACCCTGTCCTCCGGTTCGTCCCGCGACAGCCGCAGCCTCTTCGGGAGCACCGCGGCCCTTCCTTCCTCCGCCACCCCGCCCGAGCAGAGCGAGGACGACATCGACCTGGAGCTGAGCCCGGCCGAAAGCGGCGGGGAGCGGCCCGCGGGCCGGGGCCGGGGCCGGAGCCAGAGCCCGCCCCCGACCACCACCTCCGGGGGCCGCTGGCCGGAGCGGCGGGAGCCGGGGGCGGCCCAGCGGAACGGCGACGGGAAGGCCCGCTTCCCCGCCTCGCCCGTCGTCGCGCGCGCCATGGCGCCCGACCCCAAGCTGACCTATTTGGACCGCGTCGTCATGGAGATCATCGAGACGGAGCGCATGTACGTCAAAGACCCTGCGCAGCATCGTGGAGGTGAGTGGTTGTCGAGGCCGTGCTGACTTTACAGTTAATGCTTTTCTTTTCTAACGCCAAGCCAAGTATTCACCGTGCGCCAACCATCTGACAGAGTGCATCATCAGTCCTCAAAGCGTGTTTGACTTGGATTAATGTGCAGCTATGACTTCATGTGTGCAGGTGATTTACTGGATTTGGCCGGCCATAGGAGTCAGAACAAGGGAATTGCTCTCAATTGCTGTTGAGAGTGAATAATATCTGCTGTGTTCGGCCACAAATGGGTGAAAACATCCAGGAGGGTTTCTTCCTTTTTCATGACAAGGATCCAAGCAGCTCTTGTTAGTTGACGAAACACGCAGGCCTCCCATCTGGCGATGGGGCGCTCTTGTTTGTCGATTTCTACTCAACGTTCTGTGGAGCACCTTGTGATCTGGTCGCGGCGCTGTGCGTATAAACCATTCTGTATATTTACAGTGCAGTGAAAGTTTACAGCCTGTGGCCCCGGATGATGGACCGCGCTCATATCTGGAGTTGAAACACATGGTCAGAACTTGGACACAGTGCAGGTCTTCCGTGACATCATTGCGGCCCGAGCCAAAGATAGCGGGAACCTCATCTCAGAAATGTGACAGGGAAAAAGAAAAGAATCAACCAGGAATGATTTAAACACCCAAAAGAGCCCTTACGTCTCATCACATCTTCTACTTTTAGTAGTCTTGAAACAACTTTCAGACCGAGAGCTCTCTCGGCTCCTCAATCTTACCCGGGTCCTGCATAGAAACAGGAGCCCTCTCTTGTCAAACAGCCTCCACAGAATTTATGGTAATGTCTTTAACATGCGAGGCATTTCTGAGACCTTCCGTAAAAGCGGCGAGCACGTCCACCCCCCCCCCCCCAAGAGTCTCGGGCCGTGCTGGCGTCTGGCAGGTACCGTGGGAGGGGTGCGCCGCTCGGCCCGAGGACTCGTTCCTGACAACCTCTTCCAAGTACTTCCAACCGTTTCAGTGGACTGCGGCCGAGCGGCCCGGGACCCCGCCAGCCAAAACTAATACCCCTCCATCACGGCGCATACCGGAGGAGTAACACAGATGAAGTGATGATGGGGTTTTCTGTAGCCGACGGTGTGTGTGTGTGTGTGTGTGTGTGTGTATGTGTGTGTGTGTGTGTGTGTGTGTCTGTGTCTGTGTGTGTATGTATGTATGTGTGTGTGTGTGTGTGGGGGGGGGGGGGGGAACAAAGTCTAGATCAGATGTGTGCTCTTATCCTTTTCAAGATAATACCCTGGCTTCCAGGAAGCCGCTTGCATTCAGCTCACTTTTTATTTCACACGCTGTTTCTTCAGTGAACTCATTTGAAGATTCCGCCTGATGTTCCAAGCAGCTGTTGAAGCTGTGTCCTCCGGCGCTTGATCTCGTCCGTAGGTCACTGTCCAATCTGAGCCGGCCACCGGAACAGCTGTTGGACCCAGCTGGTCACATGTCTGAATGGGCCCAACTCGCACCGAATGGTCACTCTCAGCATTGTTTAGGGAAGTGAATGTGGTCCGTGGTTACGGGAGAGACCTAATCTACATATGAATCATACCATTCATACTTAATAATATTTTTAATTTGAACAATGACAGTGTGCATATTGTTTCTTTTTTTTTTTTTTCTTTAACTTTTGTGGGTTTGAAATTAAGATCAAATTGCGAGCGGTTATTAAAAGCCGAAGGGGCAGCGCTGTGACCTAGCGTCTCCAAACATAGCCCTGACTTTCTCCCGCTACACGGAAGGTCACGAGCCGGTGGTGTTAACACGGGAGGGGGGTGTGTGGGGGGGGGGAGTTTCTATAGGAGACGATGAGACGCCCTGCTGACTGCAAATCAGCATTCCTCTCCTCACTGCACTGGAATTCTCCGTCCGTTACCGGCTGCAGGTCGTGCAGCACTGCCGCGTGGCGTGACGCTGCTGTTAATCCGGGCGGCCCGGCAGGCCTGCTAGGTGTGCGTTTGTGTTTATTTTGCACCACACTGTGCAGGGAGGCCGGTTGTGTGCACAGGCGGTTTGCTGGGCGGCTCTTTATTGTAGCCGTTTGTCTCTGGTCATCTTGCTCCTCAGCTAGTTGTTTGTTTGCCACTCCAGTGTGTAATTGATCAAAAGGTAGTGTGACCATCCAGATGTTGGCATGTTTGGCCACTGTGTTTTTAGATCTTTTCTTTAATCTGTTAACGGGATGCACAAGAATTCGGACCCGGGGAGGGTTGACACAAAGTCACACTGACTTTGTGTCAATGGAATAAATCCTTAAACAGGATTTTAATTGCACCAGTTGTATGTGAAACCCTGCAGCCAAATGTCACATACAAACTTCATACAGGATATGACAGGGGTCACTTTTTTCTACATTCATTCTGCCTCTAATGGGAAGAATTTTTTAAGTGCCTGTGTGACCTTTGACTTGATATGCGACCTCTTCCACGACATCCTATCTTTTGTGTATAACTCAGCCTCTGCTTTTTTTTTTCTTTTCCCCAGGACTACTTGGCTCACATTATCGATATGAGTAACCTTCCCATACAGCCGGAGCAAGTGTGCGGCCTCTTTGGAAACATAGAGGACATCTATGAGTTCAACAGGTAAGGCACACACCTAATGTATAATCCCCCATGCAATTTCCTAATATCCTAAATTAACAATCAAAAGCGCAGGAGGATCTTTGTGAAGACGCTTTATTTGCGTTTGTGGCAGTTTAGGTAGAGAAATCCCTCCATAATGTGGTTTAATATTTGTATAAGATAACGGAAGAATGTTAGGAATGCGTGCTTTATTTTCACTCGACACAAAGCGGATGCAGCGAGAAACAAAGCAGCGACACGCCGACTTTACGCCGAAGGCCGCTTTGCAACTGTCGGGCCGCCGCGGAGTCGGCGGCGCTGCCGGCTTCACGTTGCTGACCACGCCGCTTGCCAAAACACACATTAACATTCATCTCTCTTCTCACATCGAGGAGCCTGACCGCGTAATGCCAAGGCCATTGTACAGCGACGGGCCACAAACGGGGGGTGATTTGATTCTTATTACTCTAATGGAGTTTTGACCAGCTCTGAAGGACCGATTCTGACCGGTTTTGGATGAAAGCGTTGCCGTGTTAAGGGGGCTTTTCTTCCTGTCACATGGCATCTGGGAGGCCTTGTTTTGCTTCAACCTCCTTTACTCCCCCCTCTTTGACCCACTTTTCTCTAGCTTCTGGTCTTCACGGGGCCGTGAATATCCTTCAGGTCACAGCGGGTCGTTTTATTAAGTGGGGTCAAGTTTTAAAACGTTGGCGTCACAATGTGAGATGTCTGCTGAGGGGATCAACTTCGGATCCACAAGGGTCTCACTTGTTTCCTGTTGGGGGTTTCCGTGATGTCTTTTGTCACAGCTTTGTGTCAGTGGGGAACAGGTGCTTCATGTTTACTTAATTTTGAAATGGATTTGCAGGAGGACTAACCAGATGTTTCTAGAAAAAAATGTTTTATTCCACAGTCGTCCTTTGGGGAAGTCTTTGGAAATATGAAGTTGAATTTGATTGACCTTCTAAACAGAGCGATGAATTGATAAATTACTTCAAAATCTTTTAGGGATTTGTATTCTTTGTACCATTGAACCCTCTTCCCTCCTTAAATATCTACAAAGTACTCATGTGATGTGAAGAAACATTATTAATGTGTGCAAAACAAATCTCAACCAGGAGATTCGCTCATTGTACCATGAACATGATCTAAGTTATGAAATGAAGTTATGCAACTCTCATGTTTTGCTTCCCTGGGTTTCGGATGGGAAAGTCAAGAATTTCACGCTCGTCATTAACAAAGTTCATGGTTGCCAGTGTGTGGCGCCATCTAGTGGATTGTTGTTACAATGGGTGGTCAAATAAATAGAAAATAAGCTATGGATTGACTTTGCACACGTCTCATCACTTATTCCTTTTTTAATTCCTAGGAGAATAAATGACTGCATTAACACTCCTCTTTCCCTCCCTGCTGTGTTCTGCCTCTCAGTGAACTGCTGCAGTCCTTAGACATGTGTGAGAGCGACCCGGTGGCCATCGCACGATGCTTTGTCGATAAGGTGAGAGGAACCGTGCTGCCAATGCCGATTTACTGCGACCTCCGTTTGCCACAGAAATAAACCCTCGGGGTGTGTTTGTCTTGACTTCTGTTTCCTCAGAGGGAATACTTTGATATATATACGCAGTATTGCACCAACTATCCCAAGTAAGTAGTTGGAATACGCTCTTTTTAATTACATCTTTGCTGTAGTATTTTCTTTGAGGGACACATTTTACACGCACTGATACGGCCCTCTTTTGTCCTCCAGCTCCGTGGCAGCACTGACCGACTGCATGGGGAGTAAAACGCTGGCCACCTTCTTCCAGGACCGGCAGGCCGCTCTGAAGCGCTCCCTCCCTCTGGGCTCCTACCTGCTGAAGCCGGTCCAGAGGATCCTGAAGTACCACCTGCTGCTTCAGGTACAGAACTACACAAGAGTTATTCATTATTCACAAATGGCTTTCAACTCTCATTTTAGAGCTTTAGATTTTTTTAGCTCTCCGGTGCCTTGATTTGATCAGTTATAAGGAGCCCTAAATGTAAAGGATATTTGGTATCGTGTAAGATGACAGCAGCGGTCTTTAACCAGCTCCCTGTAGGTTGGACCCCGTTGGAAACTCTAACCGTCTCCCATCTCTTGTAAAGGAAATTGCGAAGCACTTTGACTCGGACGAGGAAGGCTATGAGGTCATTCAGGAGGCCATCAACACCATGACCGGCGTGGCCTGGTACATCAACGACATGAAGAGGAAACATGAACATGCTGTCAGAGTGCAGGTCAGAACCAAATACCACGCGCGCACGCCAACATCCTCTTAGGAACGAATATTTATGTCGGCTCAGTCAAGGGTCGCCTGCGAGATCAGCAGCTCCGTTACACCCCGACTTCCCCCGACTGAAGTGAGAGCTACCGGTTTTCGAAGGATATCCATACTTTGAATCCTTAGACGGCGGGTGGCCTGGTTTTCTCCCCCCCGGAGTTTTATAGGGATTAAAAATGTAGCTCTGACGTACGGCTGACATTTACCTTCTTTCATGTTGGAGGAACATAGCTGAGAGTGATGGGAGGCGGGTGGTGCTGTGTGCTTTCATGTGCATCTGCAGGAGATCCAGTCTCTCCTCATCAACTGGAAGGGTCCTGACCTGACCACCTACGGAGAGCTGGTGCTGGAGGGCACCTTTCATGTGCTGCGGGCGAAGAACACCCGAACTCTCTTCCTCTTCGAGAGGATGCTCCTCATTACCAAGAAAAGAGGGGAACACTACGTCTACAAGACCCACATCTCCGTATGGTTCTTGACATTTTCTCATTGATCGTCAATTTCACACTTAAGGAAAATGTAGATGAGCACAATGAAACTGGTATACAACGGAACTGACGCAAGATTTGCATCATTTAACTCTTAACAAATTGGATTGAGCTACATTTTGTTGTTGTTGTTGCAGTGCTCCACCCTGATGCTCCTCGACAGTGCCAAGGACCCCCTGCTCTTCAGTGTTATCCATTTTAAGCATCCCAAGCAACCCCACACAGTGCAGGTAAATGGTAGCTGAGCACTCCAGCTATGTCGCATTCGGGGGGAATTGGGCGGATGGTAGATCGCAAACCAAATATCATGTTTGTACAGGACGCGAACGTTAGGCGAAGCAGGCAGAGAGAGATGGTACCGGCAGATGGCACTGCTGTCCACACCAGTGGTTCACACCAGTGGTTCACACCAGTGGATGTTACGTAGCTCCATCGCAGAGAGAAAGTTTGCAATAGAATATTACGAGAAAGCTAAATTTTATAGCCACATGCATTACTAGAATAATAATGTAACACCTGCTGTGTTTTCAGTTTTTTTGTCCTTAATTTAGCTGATTTAAAAACAATAATTGTTATTTTTGTGTTAATGAAACCTGTTAAGAGTCAGCACTGTAGTATTTTTCAATTCTGCATCTATCTGGTGTGCCTTTTATTGACTCTTTTTCTAAACGACAAGTGCTTGCCGTTTCAGGCCAAGTCGGTGGAGGAGAAGCGCCTGTGGGCCCATCAAATCAAGAGGCTCATTCTTGAGAACCACAACACCATCATCCCCCAGCAGGTAAACAACAGCGTCCCTCGTGGAGGACTTCTGTTCTGTCTCCGCTACGGAAGATTTGCCTCGTATGTAACCGCAACCTTATTTTGTTCCCAAGGCAAAAGAAGCCATCATGGACCATTCTATGTGTAAGTGTCACTGATGCAGCCGAACAATTGAACAGTTTCCATAACAACCGAAGATGCTGCAAACAAAAGAGGAGGGTGGCTAGTTTAACGTGGAAAATACACCAGGAGGCTGCAGCCCGAAACCCACCTGTGCATGACCAGAAAAGTGTCACGACGCATCCCTCTTCTGCTCAGATCCAGGGAAGTACCACTACAGCCCCGAGAGGCTGAAGAAGGCAGAGTCCTTCCAAGGGGATGACTTTCATCTTGCAGGGCGGAATGGGAGAAGAAGATCAGGTTAAAAACGACATCAAGTACTCAGTCCTTCTACCTGGGTCCTTTCCTCCCGCATTATCCAAATGGCACTGCTGATGATTGTCACTTCAACCTTTTTCTTTTTCTCCTTTTAGAGCCTGCAAAACACACAATACTGGGCACAAAAGGTTGGTACATGTATTTGTTTATGTTCACTGGACGTTGTGTCAGCTGAGTGGTTCCTGTTCAGTGGCCCCTTCGTTATTTGTGTGTCCGTCTAATAGAAGCGGCCCACGTCTCTCTTGCGCGGCCGCTTTGTTCCCCCTCAAAAGACATCCGGGAAAAGCGATCAAAAGGCACGCGGGTGTCGGTTAATTACTTTGTAGCACGCAAGCTCTTTTCAACAGCCAGATTCAGCCCCCTGCCTTCGGAGCCCGTCTCCCTGCTCTCATCTACTCTAATTGGCCATTATGAAAGGGAAACTTCTGTATTTGTGTCCCCAGTACTTCTTGGCTCCCGGTGCAGATGCGTTTTTTTTCCGAAGCAATGTAATGAAGAAGCAATTTTCATGTCAACCGTTTCATCTCAGTGAGGGAGTGGGCCATCACATCCTGGCTAATTGCATCATGTTTCCCAGACAAATATGTTTGTAATTGCTATTTATCTAATCACGCAGCCTCCCTTAAGTCTGGGCCAGACTAACTGCTACCTCACTCACCATTAATGTTATTTCCTCATGTGATATTTGACGAGAGCATGCGAGAGATACTGACGTTGTCTTTTGTTTATCTCTCCTCCTCTTTTGGCCTTTGTTCTCCGTGCAGCTGTTTTGAAGGTGAGTGCCGAAATTCAAATGCGGCCTTTTATCAAACCGTAATAAGCTTTTCCCCCCCCCCGCTGTAAGAAGGCCGGTGTGCTGTGGTGAGACACGGCGTATTCCATTCAAATCGCACAAGAGCTCGAACCAAAAATGGGAAAAGCACACAAACTCATCCTCCCACAGCGTACTTTCACTTACCCCCGGATCTAAAGCCGAAGCAGCTTTATTGATGATTCCATCCCATTTTCCTGCTTTGCAATCACGTCACGGCTTCATCACCGGCCTTGCAATAACAAACCACATGTGTATGACTTCACGCTACAGCACGCAGACAGTGAGGGCGCGCTGCTGGGGGAGAGGTGCTCCCTCCGGCCCGCTGCTAGTGACAGTACGCAGGCCCCCGCTCTAAGCCAGGCGCCGTCCGAGAGGCCATGTGCGAAGGATCTGAATCCCGGAGGTCCCACTGACCGTGACCCCAGGCCGGAGCCTCGGCCCAGCGAGGGCGGGCTGCAGCCGGACACGCCCGAGGAGGAGAAGGGGGAGAGTTACAAGGAGGATGTACTGATGGGAGACGACCAGGTAGCCGACTTTGCCAGCTCAGTGCTGGCGGCCATCTCCTGCTGGCACTATAGAGCCAGGGCTTTGCTTTCCACTCGCTTCACAACGGTGAGGGTCTCTGCCGCCCACGGCTTTCCTATTTCCCGCTCCGTTCCGCTGGCTTACCGACACTCCCCCACGCCGGCTCTCGCCCCCCCCCCGCCCCTCTCTCCCGGTTTCCGTCTTAGTGAATAGAACCCAACTAACACCTGCTACTAGCGTTCGCACGGTGCACGTTGCACGTTGCAGAGCCGCGGGTGGAATTCCTCCCGTCGGAGTGCATGGACCCTTCTGCAAAACCACTAACGGTGAAATCTGAAATGAGCGGGCGAAGGTGCATGACTTTGCCTTTAATGGTTTGGAGTTTGGACGTCACCACCCCGCGCATGCAGCGTTCTCCTCCGATGGATGTTTCCCTCATCTGTGTAGTTACAGTGCGTTTCATGATTGTGCGTTTATTTCGGGACATGATTTATTATACACGATTATCTTGTTGAAACTGGGCCTGAATTTGCATTAGAAACAGCGGCCTGATGCGCCCGGTTTAAATGTCGTTTGACTTCAAAGGTTAATGCAGCTATCTAATTAACTGATCATTATAATAGCAAAAGCCTTGCACTTTGATAATCATATTTCCTCAACAAATTTCCCCTCTGAATATTCAAGTCTTTGATAAGGTTAATTGTTATACCAGTATTGTTTCTGGGTATGAATAAAGACTAAAGTAATAACAATCAATACTTCAATCATAACCACATTAAGCCTCTTGGAAATGAGAGATTCTCCGGCTGCATGCGGCCTCTCAGTGGGACCTTAGAGGACGAGTAAGAATAATAACCGAGTTTACTGCCGTGATTCGCTCTTTCAGGATGATCAGATCGGAGATACGGCTCAACTGACAATTACAACAACGGAGGAGGTAAGACCTCCAGCGCAGGAGGAAAAACAGGTGGACGTGGCTGTGAATGAGACAAAGGTACTTAATAAAGCCTTACATGGATGTATACAACCAGCCGTTCACTTTCATCCATTTATTCATTTTGTCGGAGAATGCGTATCGATCTTTGTGCTCTTAGTATCGTGTGGTTCGGTGTTTTTTGCTATTGTATATTTTGAATGACGCACTCTCAGTCTATTTGCTGTGAATCGGTGAACGAGAGCCGGCTCATTCATCACTGCAATAGACGTTTCAGTAATAAGCGCCCTTTGCCATCAGAGGACCATTTCTTTCAGTGCCTTTTTAAAAACAGCATTAGTGCCGGATGTGCATATGTGGTCCTGAAAATTTAAATAACACACACACACACACACACACACCACGCTGCGGCCTGTGGTCAGCATTCCCGTTTCTCACCCGGCTGCACTTTTTACAATTGCCAAAACGCCACCAGAACCAAGCAACACCGGGAAACAAAGGGTGATTAATGGCCGACTCCGTGGTAGCAGCAAATAACACTTTCCACCAGTTTCATCCATACATGCGTGGAAATGTGTCACTGTAATGAAGCTCAACTGGGCCTCACAAGAAATAAGAACTGTCCATTATGTTAATGTGTAACGGAAAGTGCTCGCCATGGTTAATGTCTGTTTGACTCATCAGATCCCACTTTGCAAACACTCACTATCGGGTTTCAGGTCGGCGTGGCGGAGCCGTGTCCTCTGGACCGTGTCCCTCAAGAGAGGCAGAGCCGCCGGCCCGAGTCTCCCGTCTGCCCTGTGCAACAAGGAGCCGACACTCCGGAGTCTCACGACGACTCGAGGGAAACCGCGGAGGAGGAGGAGGAGGAGGAAGGGGAGAGCGATTCATCTGGTCATCAAGCGGAGGAGACGAGTGTACTGACGAACGGCGAGCTCTCGGAAGAGGAGGAAGAGGCGCTCTCGGGCAACGCAAGCATCCTGCCGTCCTCCGTGCTGGACCAGGCGAGCGTGATAGCTGAGCGCTTCATCGGCGGCCTTTCGAGAAGGAGCAGCCTGGTCTCTGAAGACCTGGGGTCCCCCGCGTGCCCCTCACCCTCAATAGAAAATGACATCTTCAAAAGCCCCTCGGCTTGCGTGGATTTAGAGCAGCAGACTCAAACGCCGGCTCGCTCCCCCCCGGAGCCGAAGGTCATCGGCGAGGCCGTCCCGTCGACGCCTGCACCGGCCCTCGCGCCGAACGGCCGCGCTGAGGAGGAACCCGGGTCCACTCTCTCTAAACGGGATCGCCTCCTCATCCGCAAGATCAGGAGATACTACCAGCACGCCGAGAACGAAGACGCCAGCTTCAGCATCAAGCGCCGGGAGAGTCTCTCCTACATCCCGGCGGGTCTGGTGCGGCACCTGAGCCGACAGCTGAACAGTGTTCCTCAGGAGCAGGCCGCCCCGGCTCAAAGGAAAGGCCTCTCTCGGAACCGCCCCACTTCCTGGTCGGTGTTTGACCTTCCCGGCTTGGAAAAGATTCCAAGCCCCGGCGCTCAACCACAGACGAAGCCACAGAGACCAGTGGAGGCCAAGGCCAGATCCCAGAGCATCACAGACGCCACCACCACCGATGAAGAGTTCAGAGACTCGTCAGACATGCTCAAGGTCTGGCAGGACATGGAAATGGAAGCGGACCGCCGGGACGTCCGGCGAATTACAGAGGAGACGCTTAGCGACCCGAGGTTAGAAGCGACGTGGGATCTCGGCTCAGGCACTCCAGATGTTAAAACCAGTAAGAACCCACCTCCCCTTTCAGAAGAGTCCGATGGCTGCGCCGTCTCATCTCCCACCACAGCCTTTCCACCGGCGGAGGGGGGGTCCTGTCCGGACTCCACGTCTCCAGACAAGCTGCCCAAGTTGATCAGCTTCCGATCGAGCATCGACGAGGACCAGATCCTACAGGACATGGGGAAGATGAAGAACAAGGTGTTCCAGCTGGCGCGCCAGTACAGTCAGCGCATCAAGAGTAACAGGCCGATAGTCTGGCCGAGGAACCGAGAAAGAGCAAATCCACCGAGCTTCAAGAGCTTGCCTGCTGTCCGCGAGGAGAGGATTCAATGTAGGAAAAAGGGTAAATAGGACGCTTGGTGCTTTCTTTTGCAGTAGCTCTGCTGTTAAGCACATGCATGGAATAAACTGAAAAGCCTTTTTTTTTTTTTTGTGTCTGTTTTTTTTTTTGTGTGTATGTGTGCAGGTAAACCCGACCTGAGGTTGCCCTTGAACACTTGCGATCACTCAGTCGTCCACGAGGAGCGTTCTCCGAGCCCGGTCCAGACGCCCGGCTCCGGCCCCGGCTCTGAACCCGGCTCCCCGGAGACGGACGGCTTCTGCTGGCCTGCGGTGCACGAGCTGCGCACCAAATACACAGACTCCGGCCACTCGCCAAACGGGACCCCTGCCTGCGCAGTCCCAAACGGGACGCCGGAGTGCTGCGCGCGCCAGGACGGCAGCTCCTCCGACCTCCGCGGCGCGCCGCCGGACGGTCCGAGCGCGGCGCTGGAAGACAGGTGCCGCGTGGAGGAGGAGGAGGACCGGGCGGCGCCCCGCGTCCAGCCCCTGCTGTGCAGGTGGAGCTCCTTGGACCACGTGCTCGGGTCTCTCCCCCTCCACGAAGCGCAGAGCTTTCAGGAACCTGTGAGGAGCAGCTTCACAACAAGTCAGGTGTCTCTGATAACGAGAGGCGGGGACCGCGACCCTGACTGCACGGCGAAGGCCGCCGCCCCGGCTCCTGGGAAAACGACAGAAAGTAACCTGGTGAAAAGCTTACGAGAGAAGTTCCAGAGCTTAACCGCGAGCTCGTGAACACGTGAAACGAGGGACCAGCCGGTGGAGAACAGTTACCCCCCAAAAGAACGCAACCTGTTGTTATCTGCACATTGTTTTTAGTATTGGGGACACGGTGATGATTTTCCACCAAGCATAAAGGGATGTTATTGGTCATGAGGGGAAAGCATATTGTCTTAAAAAATGTGTGTTGCAATATTTGTACATTAGTATTTGTCTGCACTGTACAAGTGTTTTTTTAAAGATTTGTAATGTAGTCCCCCGGTGACTGCGGATTAAGTTCTACTTTATTTTTATTATTTGCATCAATTTGGTAAATTCCTGCTATAACCACTGTAGTACTTTTACCATTCAACCATGTAATCTGCCAGCCAGAGCTTCAGGGGAAAGAAAAAAGGGGCTAAAGTGACTTTAACGAGTCCGATGTTCTATGACCAGTCAAACATATAGACACGTTTTCTCATTCAATTCAATGAAGGAGTGACCCAAATGTTTGACTGCTACTGTACCAAAGAGGGTTTGAACGGTGATTTGCTTCCACGTTTACTGTAGCGGCTTTTAAAAAATTGTTCACAAACTGTCACTGGAGCTTTATTTTTCTCAACAAGCTGTACATTTTCTTTAATATTATTTATGAATCTGTATATTTGGCAAATTGGCCTCATGTAAATAGTGACACGTAGATGCCCTTTTTACTTTTCCATTCCAGAACATATATTATTTCATACTTGAAGTTTCCCATATTTTCAATAAAAATGGTATATGCCCTAATAGGTACAGTATATCCATCCCTTACATCTACAACTTGACCCACTGGTGAAATGCAAGAATGAATATACAACGTTAATGTGCATGAAGTTATGAAGACTATTGTATGGATTGTTTGGGTTCGTAACATGTGAAAGTAATGAATCTCATTGAAATGAGGATTAATCAGCCAAACTAAACTGCATCTGCAAGATAAACAACGTGCTTTCAACATGCGCTTAATGATGCACGATTGATCTAATCAATGGAGACTAACGTCTTATCAACTGTGATTATTTCTTTGCTTAATTTCATGAAAGTCTGCTACACACAATTACACAAAAGAACATTAATGCTTAGTATTTAATCAATTATGAGGCGCGGTTATTACCGAACGGAATCATCTTCGCATCGAAAGCTGCGTCAAGCCAGACAGAAATAGACCGACGTAAACCGGAAGTCAACGGGGCAGTCCTTCAACATAAAAGCGCGAGTACACCTCGGAACTCTATGCGATCTGTTCTCATCCCCGAGGGGTTTTATTTTTGCACTGCTGAGCAGAACTTGCAGCTGGTGTGTGTTGTGTTGTGTTGTGTGTCGGGACGCGTTTGGAGAAGCAGAAACCTGAAACCTGCCATAAAATAAATGAACCATTGCTTTTTTTCTTCTTCTTCCTGGACTAGTGCATATATACAATAGTGTATAGACTTTTTGTCTATGAAGAATGGGCTGCGCAATATCAGGTCTGGCGGCAAAAGCGGAGTTTGGTGAGGTCACTACTGAGGATGCTGCTGCTGATGTTGCTGCTGCTGATGCTTCGTGTCCCAGCGAGGAGCAGATTCAGATGATCAAGGATTCATGGAAAGTTATCCGGGACGATATTGCCAAAGTTGGGATTATTATGTTCGTCAGGTAAAGTGCTCAAGTTTCTCCTGTACTTTTGCAGTGATGTTTGCATGTCAATGGCTCAAAATAGCAGAGATAATTCGCTTACTCGCCTAATTAGAAGGGGTGGACTGGGGATCATTTAAGGGATTACAGGGATATTAAAGTTACACCATCCAGTCAAACTGAGTCAACATTTGATTCCCTTTAGACATTTAATACATTTTTGATGATTTTTACATTTTGCTGTCGAAAGACCGGCAACAGCGTCCAGCAACAGATTACATTTTCCATGTGTGTCTTAAAGGCTCATATTCTCCTGATCATCGCAGTGCACAGTTTAACCTTTTCGGACCGCTCAGTGTGCACGGTGTTCTGGCCTGACAGACAAAAGGGTGTTCAGAAGGTCTTTTGTCCCGCTTTGATGATGACACGATGCCTGACCTTTTCACACGAGAAGTGCACATCAAGCTCCCTTCCACCGCCGTCCATCCCTCGTACACGAGGCCTTCTCTGTTTAGAGCCCAGAGCAGGATACCCCTCCTCCCTTCTTATCACTTCATAGCATTTTAACAACATTACATAATCATACACAGCTACGGCCCGGCCATTATGCTCTACAATTAAGGGCCTGCGCCATCAGGAAAATGCATTTTATCAATTAGAATTGCCGCCCGCGTCCGGGAAAACATCAGTGACCTATGAGGGGACCATACGGCACATGACTGTGTACGGTGGTAGAAGAGGAGAGACCGTGGTCTTTGGCCAGCGGATGATCCCAAATTTAAACCAAATAGGATACTAAATAATAGACTTAAATGGGACCTGTTTATCAATAACAAAATAGTTACAACAACCTCTGAACAGTGCAAATGAAAACTCCACTGGAGCTGAATCGTGCCACATTGTCTCCATATGAGCTGCTCACATGCGGCATGTTTAGTGCACCGTAAAGGGAGCAGTCGATGCCGTGTAAAGAGTGGGGAGAAAAGCTTGTGAGCTGGTGGAGAAAGTAAACATTGTGGCCTTACACAGTGACTTTATAGCATTTAATCAAGCATTAATTCCTACTACTTTTAAATGAATATAGCCTGAAAATGTTGTAATTTAATGCACACAGCAGCACAGAACATTTGTATTTAAATTAGCTGAACTGCAAAAGATTATTATTCTATATATATATATAACAATGTACTATTGTATGAAACCATGCGTTTCGTAGTCAGTAACCTAAAAACATCCAGGGGGGCTCTGAAAGACACACCGACATCTTGTCTGGTCCATATCTCACCTCCCTGCGGTATCATCTGCTCCTCAAAGCAGCAAAGCTACTCATGTTTTACACCAGCGCATTTCGAGCACCTCTCCCACAACTCCATTCATCAGTCTGCGGATGCGGGCATCTAATGCATTTATTCATGAGGACTTTTTTCTGTATTTCAGGATTAGAAACACATGTTTGTTTCCCTCTCACCAGCAGTGCTGCCATCAAGAAAGAATAAAAATAGCCGCGCCCCACAAGTCCTAATGTTTTCTGCCCAAAATGATTTAAAAAAAGCGAAACTCTCGAGATCAGTAGCTCTGTCTAATGGGGACTGCAGCAGTGACGGGGCAACGTGGCTCATCACACCTCCGAGTGGGAACGAGCCAACTCTCAGATCCAGCGGTTGCTGAATGCAGCTGTTGTGTGTGAAAATAAAAAAAGAGTTAGAAGCCTCCAAATGCACTGCGGCTGAAAACTGCAAATTCACATTACAACAATAGAGGGCTGCGGCTGCGTGACCCTCTGGGTTACGTCGCGTTTGCTGGGAAACCCGGGGGGGGGGGCTGTGTTTTGATCTGGGAGAAAAACTAAGATGACAAGCGGCTTCGTTGTCTTGGCAACAGGTTGTTTGAGACCCACCCTGAGTGCAAGGACGTGTTCTTCCTGTTCCGAGACGTGGAGGACCTGGAGAGGCTGCGGACCAGCAGAGAGCTCAGAGCGCACGGCCTCAGGTCAGCCACCACGTGCACACACACACACACACACACACACACACACACACATGGAGGGGGACACGCCGGGCAGCAGAACAGCTGGAGACCTTGTGACCTACATTTAGAGATGTGTGTCGTTCATTTATTGGCTTCTGTCGGGATTATGAACATCTCGTTGTGTAAATAGGCCAAAATCCACGTGGTGCTAATTTGTAGCGATTACCAATCTTAGATTTCCTCAAATGTAGATTTTCAAATCCTCACTCCAAAAACTGCTGTGGAGCCCATTGGTCTATGTTGATCTGCACAGTCTCTGTGTGTGCAGCACAAAGAAATTGACCCTTTGATGTTAAAAGTAGACCATTTTTTCGGGGGGCACTATATTTTTTTTTAGTGCCCCCCAAATAATTGGGCGCCGCCCCCCGCTATCTTTTTCAGGGTCATGTCTTTTATTGAGAAAAGCGTGGCGAGACTGGACCAGATGGAGAGACTGGAAGCGCTGGCTCTGGAGTTGGGAAAAGGACATTACCACTACAACGCCCCCCCTAAGTACTACAGCGTAAGACAATCGTTCACAGACATCTACACATATTCCATTTATAACTCATTTCAATTCCGCGACTCCCCATGAGAGCAAATCAATCTCAAAGCAGCTGAATGAAGTGACCGGACATCACTGTAGCGACCACAGCCTAACATGAGCACGCTTCTACAGTACGTCGGGGCAGAATTCATCGGTGCTGTGCAGCCCATCCTGAAGGAGAGGTGGACGGAGGAGCTGGAGGAGGCGTGGAAGGTAACCTGTGTGTGTGTGTGTGTGTGTGTGTGAGTGTGGAATCAGAGACGCTCACAGCCACACATCCTGTGTGTAGCGGCCTTCGTGTGTGCAACCTGCACGTCCCGTGGACATCGACACCCTGCGGCCCGGTCGTCTTTTCATGTCACGCCAAGTGTTTGGCTCATTCTACTTGGGAGACCATTACTTATCAAACGGCACAATGTGTGTAAATCAAGTCCTTCTATAAAGAGCTTGTTGCCCTCATCTCTGACCTTTAAGTTACTGGTTAATTGAAATGTTTCATATTTGGCACTAAACATCCTTTAACTTAATAACACCGCATACTGCTAGCTAGTATTTCTATGGCTCTGGGTGAATAGAACGCACACACACGTTGTACAATGCAGCAATGTTACACCAACATCCTCCACACACGGGGAGCATGACTGTGTTCAACGTGTATCTTGTGTGATCCAGACCTTGTTTCAGTTCGTGACCGGCCTCATGCAGCGGGGGTACCAGGCGGAGAGCAAGCGCCAGCTGGCCGTCCCCCCGAAGGAACGACCCGACAAGAAGAACACGGCGCTGTGAGCTGCCGCTTCTCCTTCCAACCACCAAGTCCCACTGTTTTTACCGTCCAATAGAAATGTCTCGATGTATATACTGTATTTACTGTCTCCTTTTCAACACAGTCACGGTTTGCCACTTATTTAAAACGGACAAAAACAAAACTCGCTATGACTTTCAACGGAGCACTTTATTTCTGCACGTATCTTGTGCTGGCGTCCTCTTCCATGAGGTCAGGACCCGGCAGCATGATTCAAACGGCCGACAGCACATACCAGCTGTCATTACACCCGCCTTGCAATTGTGATTAACAAAAATGTTCGTCTAACTTGGTCCGTCTTTATATTAACTTAGAAAATGGCTTTCAATAAAATCTGCATTTAACATTAGTCATCATTCAGAAATCTAATTCATATTTAAATTACCCACATTAACCTAAATAATACATTTTGTTTGGGTTCAACGATTTAAGACGGACAGTTTATAGTTTGGTATGATAATTTAAAACAAAAATATCCATTGTGCTTTAGGAAGTCAAATAAAATGATTAAATAAAGTAAATGTCTACAATATCTAGTCTAATACAAAAAAAAAATCTAGTCAAATCTGCCGTGATTTAGTTTAAAGCAACTTGGTAAATTCATTGCTTATGCAATTAATAAACACAATTAAAAAAAACAGTATACAAAACTTCAATGACTTCTTCTGAAGGTAAAGAGATCAAATCAAAACAGCCTCTGTGGTCACAGATCAGCTGTAAATATAATGGACCTAACACTTAAATAGCATTAAAGGCGGGTAATCATCGGGCTCAGCGGATTTGCCGTCACAGGTGTCACAGCTGTTGATGACCTGGTTCCAAAGGAGAAATGGTGGCGATTCAGTAATGTTGACCTGTACGAGTTAGAGGAAATCCTCGAGGTTTCCGTTACAGACTTCCACTGGCACCAGAATGCCAGGGATGAGACATTACCATGCAAACAATGGCACAATAATCAAAGCAGTCCCCGGGTGGTTGAGCAGCGATTCCGAGGCCTCGGGTGAATCGGTCCAAAGCGAGATGCAGCGACCCACCAGGTGGAGGCTCTTGCTGTTCCGTAGGATCGTACAGGCCCGTTTAGGTACCCATTGTTATGTTACTGAGTCAGTCGGTCATTGGGTGGCTTTGGTTTTCTTGCCTTTGCTTTTCTTATCTTTCTTCTTAAGTCCATCCATGTGAGCTCTGAGGAGATTGGAGTATGCCTGCAAAGGAGGTGTTTCAGTTTAGATTTCAGTGCAATGGCAAACGGTAATAACTTCAAAATACCACTGAAATTAAAATGTTGCAAAACTAGCCTGACCTACCATTTGAAACTTGATTACTTCTTTGGTGGTGACCTGAAATAGAAATAAACAAAAAGTCAGCATTAACAGCTTGTATTTGATCAGGCAGAAAGCCACCGGAGACACAGTAAGTAAACTTACCACTGTGCTAATTTTCTTCTTGCCATCAGATGCCCTGACGAGGCATTTGTTGTCTACTGGTTCAAAGGACTCGGCGTGGCCCTTTCGGGGTGTTGGTTTTGTCCTCCCGTCGTCTGTAAACCAGAAATACGGCTCACATGATGAGAGGGGAAACCTGGAGCATTATCGTACAGGTTAAACTGGAATGAGACTCGAGAGGAGCTTACACTTCTTTAACGTGATGACAACACTGCCAGATGTTCTGCACTTCTGGAACAGCCGTGTGAGTTCTGTGAGAAACTGGACGATGGAGCGAAAAGGGAAAAAGTCAATCGGAGTCCCTGCAAACGATCCATACTGTTTGGGGGATGCAAGATTCAACATGGCAATCAAAGCCATTATTAAATATGTATCTAAAATCAACTTCGGTTGTGGTCGAGTTTCATATTCATTGCCACATACTGAAGAGTACTTTCAATTTCAGCCTACCCTTAATAAACCGGGGAAATATTAAAAACATTTGAATCTCTATTTGACTGCATTAGTTGTACCTCTTTAAATGACCGCCACCCGGTTAATAGTCGGTTAGGTGAGGAACAAAAAGGAAATGGCAAATAACATTAACATGTAACTTAACGTTACTTTAGTCTGCTTAGTGTAACGCTAACTCTGCGTTAGCTGTCGTGAAATTAATACGTTGATGAATGTTTGCTTACATCGGTGCCTATTTACGAAATAATGAACAACTTAACCGAGATTTGCGTTTCCAAAGCGTGCGCGTAGCCTCAACAATTCTGGAAAGTGAAATAACTGAGTTACATGTGCCGGTTTAAAGCTCGACACGAAACCAAATGTTAGCTTCAATCAAGCGTTAGCATCCTGGCTAATGGGCAAGTTTGGTCACTTAGCTACATTAGCTTGACTAACGTTGTGGCCGGCTGTCAACTAACGTGGACAGCTAACCTGATGGACAGTGTCCATTTAATGTTCACCACCAATAAAGTCGACGGACCCAATAATTAAAAAATATACTCTAAATCTTACCGTGTCATTTTCAAGCAGCACCATGATTCTAATTGCAGCTTTTGCGTCGGTTTATTAGTCGCAAGCTAGCCGCTGTGGAGGCTGTAAAGCACACGTACTACGTACCGCACGAGCCGGAGCCCCGCCCTGCGCCTCTAGAGCGGAAACTGGGCTTGAGCGACAGCGCCACCCGCGGCCAAGGAGGGGAACTACACGCCTCGGTTGATGGAAACATTTGTTCATATATTGAAGATTTTTCCACAACTTGGTTATTTATAAACACGATATCTAAAGAAAAATGTAAAGAGTGGTATGCCTTCATGTATAGTATAGCTGGAAGAAGTCATAAAAATGCAGTGTCGAATGTAGAAAAAAGTAAAAGAAAGAGTATGGCATTCAGAAACAAATTTGATAGTCCCGGTATAGTTTATTGAAAGAAAGTCTAAAAAAAGGAAAGCATGTCGAAAACAACAGATTGCTCTGCATGTTACAGAGCCTTGAAGAAACAGATTTCAACAGCCCGACAGGACGAAAGACAGGAATCTACACTTTTTCTTTTTAGGCCCAAAACACTCTCATTGTTGCGAACTGTCACACTTGTAGTTTAGCATATTTGCCGAAGGGGATTTTCTAGGTTGATGGTTGGGTTATATTCATATTCAAATAACATTCTAAAAACTTTGACGTAGAAGCACAACTTACAAGTAGGTTTACTAATTTATTTGTGCCAAATAAGTTTCATATTTTGAAATATAAAATCATGAAAATATATATTATATTCATACAAAATCTTAAAAGCGACAAAACAATACATTAAATCAATACATTTTCATAACTTTTATTAGACACAAAATGTACACATGGACACACAGGATTGTAATAGAATTAAATAAGAAAGAATCAAAGAAGTCTCAGTTTATACTTAGTCGGAGTTAAGTTGAAAGAGATATGTTTATGCACTCAGTAATTCCAAAAGATCCGAACATTTGCTATAAAAAATTAAACAAAAACATTTGCTGTAAGAAACATGAATTGACAAAATGCTGATTTCTGAATCTTGTGATTGTTGTGTGCATGACGACAATTTCTTCATGATAAAACAGGCAAGTCAATTCACTAACCATAAATTCAACAGCTGAAGTAAAAATGATCCAAATAAATGATAACTCAATAAACCTTATGTCTAAGTGCAAGTGCAGTACATACTATTCCATCCTTTTCTTAAGGTACTTGTAACCATTGATGTCAATGATTCTTTCAGTGCACGCTCACTTTACAGAATATGATTTGTATTTCTTACATTATACTTTCATAAAGATGCTTCTATCATCTTCATAGTGCACAATCGGGGTTCTGCCCCAGGTCAGCAATGGCCACAGAAAACTGAGAGTACCAGTCCCTGTCAAAGACGGCCCTGAGCTGACCCTGCAAGGCCTTGGTCTTCCATACAGGCTGAGGAGCATGCTGGGAAATCACCAGACCCACTCCAGCTGTGGTCATAAAGTAGTCCCCTGACCAATTGGAGGTACCTGAGGGACAGCACAATATTATCTGGTTAATTATTAACCAATTCACAGGCCACAAACAGACCGAATGTGTGGCAATGACGACCTGTGACTCACCGATGTAGGCTACTTTATCCGTCACCATGTATTTATTGTGGTTCACTCTGGTGAATGGAATATCAGACTGGTTTCCCACAGGCACAATGTACAGTTTCTGGAAAGTGAACAAGATGCGAAAACAAAAAAAGAAAAGAAAAGAAAAAAAGAAAGAACAGTAAATTCACAAGCAAAGATCAGCGTTTCCCCCCCCCAACAGATCCATTTATTTCATGTCGTGTCTCACTATTTGGATGCTGATGTTCTGGTGAGGGCTGTCCATTAAGGCCAGAGACTTCAGGAAGGGCAGCATGGCAGGATCGGAGTCCCGCCCACAGCTGATCAGCATCCGGAACTTGACCCTTCTCTCGAATAACGCAGTCCGGATGGCGTCATCAATAAAAGGCCAGTATCTATTTGATTAAAAGAGCAAATGTGAGGAAACAAAGCTAAAGAGGCTGCCAGTTTGATGGAAGCTGAGTGTTTTCTTTTGGGGCGACACCTCTGGGGCTTCTCAAAGCGCGTGGTGGGGAAGTACTCCATGACGGCTACATCGACGTAGTGCTGGGCCTCCGAGATGATGGACAGAATAGCCTCCAGGTCCTGAGTCCTCGACACAGGACAGAATGATGCTGGGGAAGCCTGGAGGGAAACGTAAACGCTCAACAACCACCAAAACACAGGACGCACACACAAGCAGACTTACGTCGCAGCAGTTTTGATTATATAAAATTCACACGTCGTACGGTCACGTCTGTTTGAACAGAGACAGCTCCTGTAGAAAAGGAAATGAAACCTAAAAAAAAGGAACTCACTGTGAGATACAGGCTGCTGGAGACATTGTCGCTCCTCACCAGCAGGGGGTGTTGTTTGTTGATGTCCGTGTCATACGCGGAAGGCCAGGGCTGTGGCAGGGAGCTGTGGGATCGTCCCATTACCCAGTAGGACTGGAAGATCTTATGCAGGTCCTTTGCGAGGCTGGAGCAGTTGTAGACAACAACTCCCAGCTCCTTCACCTACATGCGCATTGTGAAATGGTTGGGAGGTCCTTCAAGGTGTAAAATAAGCATCCGTCATCACATATTTGAGGCGTTACCTGCGTGAGAGCCCTCCAGTCCATGTTGGCACTTCCAATAAAGACATGTTTTCCGTCAACTATCCAGAACTTGCTGTGGAGGACTCCCCTCGTCAGGCGCCCGAAGTTCACCTTCCTCACCTGAACTCCTGCAGGCAGCCAAAGAGGGAAGTGCAGTTAAGGGAAGTCGAGGCGAACAAATCAAAACAATGCAGAGAAGAGGAGCCGCTTCCACACCTTTCCCTTTTAAGATGTTTAAATCTGTGGAGTTTGTTCGGACGGATGGAACACTGGTCACCACTCGGACGGACACGTTCCTGGAGGGCAATTCTTCGAGTTCTTTCAGGATGTCCCGTCCCTGCAGGGGACAGACTCACAGCATCAAAAAAGACCTTCGCGATGACAACATATTAAACAGAATTCACGTCAGTGTTCATTTTTAGACCCGTCTTAGCTGATAACCCACAGGTATGTCAGAGGAGGAATTAACGTTGATGTCTTCCCCTGTTAAAGTCCAGTAGAAAGAGGCCACTTGCACGTGGTCCTTGGCCATGGAGATGAGGTCTCTCCAGACCTTTTCCAGGGGGATCCCGATGGTTTCATTGGCTTCGTAGCTCACTTGTTGAGGGATGCTCTCCACCAGCGCCATGCTAAGAGATCAATAAAGACACGTGCTCAGGGAACGCTTTGGAAAAGGAACTGGGGAATATTATAATTTAGAGAAACTCAATCATACGCTGGTGAGGTTTAGATGAAGCTAGTTGTTGTCATTATTTTACAGTGTGATAAATATCTACATTACATCTCTTCAGTTTTTTTTTTACCTGCACTGGTCCACATGGAAACCGCTCTCTGCAGCTTCCTCAGGAAGCACCTCATGTTCTTCGGGGTCCGGTGGTCTTTCCAGCACAGCGATGGCCAGCAGGGTCCCGAGCACAGTCAGACAGCCCAAAACCACAACTAACGTCACACAGCTGGTCGACGTCTAACACGAACATAACAGAGAAACTATATAGTCGCTGTACCAAACCACAGGGAATAACGTGGGAAACGTTTGATGGAGTCTCACCATCTTGTTTGAAGCGTAACGGTCATGAAGGCGGCTGTACGTGGAGCTCATTTTTGCTTCAACTCGCCCACTAGTTTTCAAAAGCAGGAAATTGTTGTCTCAAAAAGAAGAAATAAACGCACAACAATTCCAACCACCCCATTTAAAAAGAGTTTAAAGTACTTACATCGCCGGAGTTTGGTTTCCTAATTGTTGAAAGCAAAAGTAACTTTTGTAACACAAAGCCGAGGCAGACGAGCGACAGCTCACAACAAACGTGCTTCCTCCCCTCCAGCGATCACACTGAGCTGAAGGGATCCGATACAGATTTAATCATTGCACAGTTCCTCTTTTTTACTTTCATTTCAAGTTGAGACTTTACAAAAGTGTGGTGAGTGAATAAGTAGAAGTAAATCACAAAATATATCTTTACTAATGAAATTTATTCGAAAAAAAAATAAATCAGCAATCATCGTCTATCAAATTACAACAAACAAAACAAATACCAGCTAACAGGACAGCGAGGTTACAATCAGATCTGAACAGTAAAACGGAGGGCAAACAAAAAACAAACAAAAAGACACAGATTTGACAAACTAGAATTACATTTCAGCTCTCAAACCTGCGGTAGCTTTGACTGCTGACTATAATAACACGAACCCACAGGAGAAGAATAGCAGCAACATCTTGGGAAAGAGATGTCAATAGGACACACATTCGATTCAGCAAGAGTTTGTAAACAGCCACCGTCCCACACGGCTCTGTGGCACTTACAGGTACGTCACAATTACAATCAATGTACAATCTGGAAAAGGGGGAAACAGCGACCCGCTGCCGCTTTGTTCTTTCCTGCTGCGAGCTCAACATCAAATGTTCACAATCTTTTGCAGAAAAGGACCAACTTTCAGTTTGCGGCCTGTCACGTCGAGGGGGCGACGCTGTACTACATAAGTGCAGAAGACAAGACGGAGAGCTGATTTGCACGTAGCAGACACCTTGAGGTATTCACAATGTCAAAACCATCCTCAAGATTTACAGCCTCACAAGGTCGAGCGGGTCTACGTCATCGCCAGAGTCGCATTGCTTCACGCAAGGACCCGTCGCAGTGACCGCGTGACTTAGAGAGGAACCGTCAATCTGACCACAGAGCTCCAGAGCGCACGGCGACTCATTCCGGCCAGTTGCTTCACGGCGGTCTTTGGCCAAATAGTTTCAAGCCCCCTCCTCCTCTGACTGGCTTTGACACATAAGAACCCACTTTTCAGAAGGTAGAGGAGTCAGGAATGCCGGAGAACGCTTGCTTTATAGCCGCTTGGGTTTGTGGTTGCCAGGTGACTAAACTGAGTCCCCACAAACAGCCGGATCGCACATTCCAGAAGGGTTTTCATCTCCAGCTGGACAAAATACAGAGGCGACACAATGGCAAATGTTCGCAGAATAAATACGCTTTAAATGGGTTGATAGCAACTGTGTAACGCTGCATTAATTGGTCTGGCACTAGCGTCTACTAACCCTCCCAAAGTCATGTTGCCTCGGATACAGAGTCTCACAAAAGACCCCCAATAAATATATTTTACATTCTGCAATCAACCATGTCCACAAAGAGAAAAGTGGAGAAAACATTGAAAGACAACAGAAAAAGTAATTGGTTTACTGAGGATACATGTACACAAACTAAGGTCTTTCAAACCCAAAAACATATATCAACATACCAATATTTCCACAAAATGCTTATTTTTCACTAAACAGACGCCGTATAAATTAAAAGATTTCCCTGAGATGATTATTCCCGGGCTACTTTTCAAATAAACCGAGTAAATATAATGAGCCAATGCTGCTCGTCTCATTGGCAAACGGAGGGAACCGGGTACGGTTCGCAGGCTTTTCTGAGGCGAGTGTTTTTTTGGTACATCCGTAAACCTGCAGCTCACGTGCAGGCGGCGTCCCGCCGAGCGCACTCTCAGTACCTACAGCGACACCACCGTGTCCATAGTGCATCAGTGCGAGTTTGGATGTGCGGTAGACTACCGATCTGTACACACTCTCACTTCCCCCCTTCTCAGTTTCATGGCGTGCACAATGGTCCGACAGCTGTGTCTGTGTTACACAGATATTCATCCCCGGTGGAACCTGCGTGTCCGCGTCACACCTCAGACCAAATATCCCGCCCTCTGATCGCCGGGGGTCACGGCCGCCCTCCGGACAGCCTCACTCGGCCTCGGGCCGCCGCCGCGCTTGGAGACGGAGTGGATTGTTCTCCAGTCCCGGGAGGCGGGGGGTCTGGAGGGCCGAACTCCGGATGAGGCCTTAGCAGTGTCGAACGGCCCACTGGGCCCCATGACTGTATTAAAGACTGGGGAGGAACAAGGTGAAAAGGGGTTTCAGCCTTTTGCTTCACAACACGTGGTGTTTATGAAAAAAGGGAACGGTCGACTCACCCTCGAGTTGTCGTTGAACTTTCCAGAGTTCTTTCAAGATTAATGTGACTTCCTGAAATGCAGATGTCAAACTTATCGCAAACAATCAACCAACATTTTTTAATTCAACTTAAATATTGAGAAACCAACCTTGTTAGAGGAATTGTTAACAGGAACATCGTTGTCGGAGTTAACCTTTGCTTCAGTTTCTTCCCAGATATCCATCCGGTCCTGGAACAGCACCCTGTGTGCATAAGGCCCCAACGCACTTGTTAATAACTCTGCTTCTTATTGTTCTCTTTAAGAGGGGAAAATATACATTTTTGAGGGTCTAAATGTTGTTGTCTTTTGTGTCTGGAAAACTGCACTTGTGGGGACTGAGCAGAAACTAGATCTAATTAATACTAGAGGATTCTTAATGAGGGATTTGGGGATTAAATGAGGGTCTCACAATGGAGACCTTTAAACACCAACTGTTTTATCTGCATCTAATCGGTTCAGATTACATCTCGGGCCCACGTTGTCAGCACAGACTCCCTCAGTTACTTTAGTTTAATGAGATTATTGGTTCAGTTGTGCCCGGCTATCAGACAGGATCAATAGGTTTCCATCAAACGCAGACTAATCACAGAATAAATGTCCAAACCACATCTTACTTCATTTTATCAGCGAGTTGCGCCGTGTTTTCGCGGATGGCCACGGTGATCTGTGACACTGAATTCAGCATCAGATTATCCACAAGGACCTGGGGAGAGATGTAAAGAAATACCGTATAATGATTTCCCAGCGTTCGCATCAGAAGTCTATAAAGACATTAGTGGACGCAGCATTTCTAGGAGACCTGATCTCCGCTCTGAGCCTCCTGGTCACTTTCTTCGGGTTTCCTTGAAGGTCTTGGAGGTTCCCTCTGGTATTTTAATCCAGCCTCGGGAATATGAGGAACCAGCTGCAACAAAATATAGACTCGTGTTACAGTTTCTGGTGATGAAGATGACCTTTTAAATCTCACACAACTGCACCAGATGTGCAGAGCCAAAGTAGAACAAGGAACTATAAAGGAATCATCAACAAAAACACAGAGAGAGATACTTCCTCTTTTAATGAAACAGCATAGTTTGTGATGAAGAGGACAAAACAAAGAAATTAGAAGAGTTTTAGTCAGATGATGAATTAGATTTGATGCCTCAGTGTGTGAGCTTCATCTGTTCGTTTTCGTTGCAGCTTTATCTACGTCTCATGCACCTGTTCATGAGTGGTCACTGTGCAGACAGGCGCACCGCCGTCCGCTCCAGGGTTCTGTGGATCACCATCACCCGCAACGTCATGGATCTCCCTGGCCAAGATAGCTAGGTCTTTAGCCAGGTCTTGGCTCAACCTAGCAGGCAAGGTGCACGTTTGTAGTATAAATATTCTGCAGAAAGGGAAATCCTTGATCTGTTCTCCGTTACTTGTACGTCTCCTTACCGTGCGATCTCAACGCTGTGGTTGGACCAACTGTGCGGAGCGTCGGCCTCGTGGTTCTCATCCTCGGAATCTCTGCTGCGAGGTTTCGGCCGCAGGGCGACGACAGGCTGGGGCCGCGCAGGGTTCCGCGGGCTGTGGGAAGCTGAGGAGGGTTGGGAGCGTTTGTGTTTAGGGGTGCTCTGGTTTGAGTCGTACTCCTCGTCGGAGGTGGAGGTATAGTCAGAGCCTTTGTGTCGTCTCCTGGAGCCTTGGCCTTGTGAAGAGGTTTGAGTTACGGAGGATGAGGAGAGACAGAGAAGCCGGGAGAGAAAAGAGAGGGAGAGATACCATCAAAGAATACAGCCAAGAAAAAACACCACCAAGACTATTATTGGTCACCAAAATCCAGAACCAGGGACAGAAAAGCTGCTTTGGAAGTGCTCATTTGTGCAGCTAAATTGTAATTAGAAAGATGGCTTAGGTTTGTTCTTTCATTTTTCACATTTAAAATAATTTACAAACTGAAATGAGTTCTACATTTCCAAAAAACAGCAGCTGAGTACCAGACATGCACCATATAGTGAAGACTGGCAAGTTTAGCATTAACCATTTTGTATACGGCTGGAACTGTAATTAAGATGAAAGTTAATATACAACCGACACCACTGAGCGCTCCGGTTCGCTGCTTCCACCTGTGCGCTGCTAACAAAATACCACCTAAGCGGGCAAAGTGGAACCCGAGGTCAGGAGGATAGCAAGCTGCCACAGCTGGCCGCTTCACCGCCGCAGAAATATAATATTAGTGTCATTGATGTCAGTGAAAGTCTGTCTAAAATAACACTTTGGAATTGAAAGAAAAAAAGAAAAAAAAGGTGCTAGAAGCCCCGTGTTATTTCCAGAAACACGCAAACTGAGGCGTGATTGTATCAAACCAACCCACCACTGTGGTTGCTCAGCAGAGCGTGTGATCCTTCCATTCCGCCCACAAAGCAACGTTTTCACGTGGTTTGGACAAAGATAACAAAACGTGGACGACAGTCAAACAAGGTGCTGCTTTATACTCACTTGAGGTGCTTCCAGCATATTTGGCACTGCTCGAACGGCCCCGAGTGATCGGCGCCTTGTTGACCGGGGCTTTCGGCTGCCTTTCTCCGGGCCTCGACCCCGACACGGAACCCCTGCGGGCCGAGCCGCCGGCGGCGGAGGCCTCGGTGTCGCTGGGCGTGTTGAATGAGTTTGTGCGCTTGCGAGGCATCGCCAGCATATCCAGCCTGGAGAGCTTCTTGGTCTCCTGGGGTTGCTGCGCCGCCTCCTGGGACAGCCTCTCCGTCTCCGCGCCCTCGTTGTCCGAGGCTTCTCCCAGGCGAGCGCGGCGGAGCGTGGACGCCCTGGTGGGTCTCGGGGCCGAAAAGCTGCTGGCGCGATTCAGGGCCTGCGACGCTCTGGAGGTCTTGGCGTCCTCCTTCTGAACGGGCGCCGCGTGCTTCCTGCGGGATTGGTAGCCGTTGGATTCCTGATCGGAGTACGGTAAGCTCGGAGGGTCGTCGCTCAGGTCCGTGGAGCCGCATCTCCCGGCGCTGCGTCTCAGTCCAACCGGTCTCCTGACAGGCTGCGTCTTACTGTTGGCGTCTTCTCCTCGAGAGCGACTCGAGTCCTGACTGGCTACGCTGGCAGAGGACCCGTCCCCGTGGAAGCTGCCGACAGAGGGGTTTTTAGGCAGCGCGTTTGGCCTGGTCTTATTGCTGTGCTGGCTGACCGTGCTGGAGGTGTCGACGTCGGACTCCGCAGAAAGAGAGTCCATTGTTGAAGACGGCGTCGTTCCCGATTGGCCTGCTTGGAGTTTGGCCTCCAGAGCCGCCAGAACATCCTCCGTCTCTTTGAGGTAAGAGTGAGTGTCCTGAGCTCCCTGGAAGGCTTCGGGGTCCAGGCCGCTCTGCACCTGCAGGGTGGAGATGTTGGGCAGTCTGGCATTGCTCGGCCGCACCTTGGTGAAGCTCTCCTGTCTGATTAATACGGATGAAGCGCCGTCTTTGGACTCCGGGCTCAGGACCGGAGCGGACACACTGGGCTTGACCTTTCCGGGTTTGGTCAAAGTGGAGGTCGAGAAGATTTTGGTCGCTTGTTTTGTTTCAGTCTTAGGAGTGCCGAGGATTGACCCCCCAGAGTCTGGTTGTGGCTCAGCCTCCGCTGACCCGATGTAGAACGACGTTGACTTGGTCGGGAGTCGGTCCTCATTTTTCCTTCCTTCTCTGCCTGACAGCGGCCGCCTCTTTTGCTCTACGATGGAACCGTCGTCCGACCTGCTGGCGTCACTCAGGCTGTCCGGCTCCACGTCGTCATGCACCGACAACCTGTGGAGGCTATCCGGAGACCCGCAGGCTACCGTGCTTACGCCTCCCACGTCAAACGTTACATTCGGGTCGCAATGGACGTGAATGCTGGGAGTTGCGACGTCGCTCGTCTCGCTCAGCGGTACTTGCGGCAGGACGCGCCGAGCTTTTGCACCGTCAGAGTCCGCGCTGTCGTGGTGTCGGCTGAGCGTGGCCTGGCGGGTGTTTGTGCCTCGCTCTGAAGTGAAACAGTTTTAATGCATATTAGCCACACACACACACAGTTTAATATCATTCGTATTCACCAGGGTTTCTCATTAACATTCCAAATGCATTAATGTGTAGTCAGGTGCTATTTACCCCCTTCTGACGGCTCCATGTGCGAAGAAACGTCAAAGAGGCCGGACGAAGGGCCGGAATCTGCATAGCTGTCTGCCAAGCTGGCCCAGCAAGACATCCACTTGGGAGCCTCCTGTAACACGGCGCCGGCTGGAGGAACCTGTGTGAGATAACATACAACGTAGTCAAGTCAAAAGTCAGTCAGTCAGTTTTTAGACTATTTGCTTAGTAAAAGAAACTAAGTTAACCGTGATACTAAAACGTGTATTCTCCCCTTATATCCGGTTAGAAAGATAAAAATAAACACTCATGAACCCAGAACCTGTGAGTAAAGACGAGGTGAATGTAGAAATCAATACAGACGTACAGCAACAAGACAAAAAAAAAAAAAAAGAAGCAATGCCAAGAAGGCAAAATCCAGACAGCCATACATGCCCATTTGCACGCTTAGACATTATGACCGAACACCTTGATCACGCGGTGAGCAGGACGGGATACCTTTACCAGACTCTGTCCCTGTTCTGGAGCTGGCCTCAGCTCCCCAGCGCTACTCTGCCTATGCTGCTCCCTGCTCTCTACATTAACGGGCCTAAGTGCTGGGGGTGTCTCTGCTTCACTCGGGCTGGTTCGCTCGGGGCTCTCAAAAACACCAAACACCTGTCAGGAACAAAGCAGCGCAGGTTGATGATTGCAGGAAAGCGGGACCGCCGACGTCCGCGGCTCGTTCCCGAGAGGGGACGTCCTCCCAAGACGCAACGACACCGGAGGATGGAGGCAAAGCAGCCGTTATTAGCCAGATTTACGCGGGTTAAACGGAGAAGACACTTGCCTGGTCAATGTTGCTGCGCGCCTCTTCTAGCTCTTTATCTTGAACGTCGGCTTCAATGGTGTAGGTCCCCGCGTCACTCAGACTGTCCTCCTCTTCGTTCTTGGCCCCGACATGGGGGCTCTGGACCTCCTCGGCCTGAGACGGCACGGGCATCAAGGGGACCCTGAGGGGGACGTGGTGGTGGATGGGAGAGGAGGTCTGCGGCTGGTGGGACGCGTTAGACGGCGGGGGGCTCGATGCCTTTTTCCCGCTGCTGGCAGAGGACGACTGCTTGGTCTGTTTGAGAAATTCAGCAGTGAACTCCTGGGCGAGTTTGGACCTCCGGCCCACGCTGCTAAAGGGTCTCACGGATACGGATGAGGAAGAGCGGGAGGAAAAGCCGGTGCTGATCCGGTCCTCTGTCTTCTCCCTTCGTAGAGAGCCAGCTCTCTGGAAGCCCGAGGGGGCGGGGCCCTTCAGGGGGACCGTGTACTGCTGGGTTGGTGGAATGCCGGAGGCTGCAGACGGGACGTGTCTCTCCCCGCTTGAGCCCTTCTTGGCTTTCTCCGGCTGGACCCTCGGGGCCGAAGGCTCGGGTGGAGATGTGTTGCCAGTGAAAGACTGGGAGCGCTTCTTTCGTAGGTCATCGTCAAAGAATTCAATAACGAAGGCCTGGTGGGGCTCGGCCTTCACTAGGCCGGGCGGGGACTGCGATTCCGGCGGCGAGTAGGACGACGGCTCCTCCGAGCGGCGCGGTGGGGAGGCTCTCAGGGGCTGTGGCGTCACCTGGTACCCAACCCGAGGTTCCGATCGGAGGAACCCCCTCCCGTTGATCGCAGGATCCTCTGAATCGCTGCGAGTGCCGTCTTCGTGTTGGTTTGCTGGTGATGGAAAAACAAGTGAGTTTAATAGCCGACACACTATTGCGATCAATGCGAGTGTTGGTAATATTGTATAAGTGCCTCACTCTTGGGGACGTTCAGGAGTGAGGAGTCGCTGTTGGTGCTGTACGCGTCTTCAGCCTGCGTCCGCTTCCTGATCATGCTAGCGTTACTCTGGACCAGCCAATCAGCAACTTTGCTCTCTGCTGACATCACCTCCGTGGGTGTGGCGACGGGCTCTGTGGACGGTGGCTTCTGCTGCTGCTGCTGCTGGCGGAACGAAAACTTGGTCACGTGGTCCTTGATCTTCATTTTGCCTGGCGTGCATTCATCAAATTCGATGGTGAAGGAGGCGTGGCTTTGGACGGCCGGAGGCGTGGAAGACGCGACCTCGGCGGGGTGCGCGGTGTCCTTTGTGGGGACCTCGTGCAGCTGGGACTCGGGTTTCTTGGCGAGGCGCAGCTGGGATTCCTTCGTCGGGATCTCGAAGTAGCTGGGCTCCCGGCGGTAGGAGAACAGGGACTTGACCTGATTGTCGGACAGAGAGCCGTTGATGGACAGAGAGCCGTTGACTTCATACCTGGACACGTCTTTAGCGGGCTCTGTTGAGGACAGCGAACACACAGATACACAGAAAGCATTTTAAATACTTTAAGCCAGCAAGCGACCAAGTGACTACAACATTTGCCTCTGACGTATCACAAAAACAGCCAAACTTAAACTTCATTGGTACGGCTTAGAAAAGAGATCGCAATGATGGTGACGTCACGGATGTTTTTTTTTGGGTGCCGGTCCGACGCGGCCAAATACCACAGCTCAGAGTCCAGCTGAGTGTGAATAATCTGTTGAGGCAAACGATCGCCCTTCCACCCCCCTCCGAAAGCGTAGGGGGTCATAATCCATCAGGAGGCTGACAGGATATGCCCACGCTGGCCGGGCGTGGCCTGGCACGGCTCGGCCTGGCTAATAGTCCACAGCCGGCGGCCACAAAGGGCGTCACCCACAAAGGGCATCAGACAGGGTGAGAGCCAATGGAATTATAGTAGAAGTATCACTTCAGATATAAACACTGTGTGTTTACTGCAATCGAGTCTGTAAAAATATAAAACTCATTCTCTGACCTGGAGACTCCTTTTCTGGCGATTTCCCACCTCGGTTCTTCTTTTTCTTGGCTGCGTCCTCGTCCTCGCCCCACCAGGACGGTTGGCCGTAGAGAGGAGTGGGCTTGGATATCGGGGGATCGGTGGCAGCTAGCAGACAAAAACACACACACACACAGGAACATGAATGAACGGAGTCAAACAAAGGGCGGAATTTATACCCCCCCCTGTATTGTGTTTATGAGGCAATGAGTAAGACAATGGTCACATGATCAGACACTGTTGTGTCTGGAGTTTGGATCTGTAGCCTTTTGGGCTTGGACAATCCTCCCACGTTCCCATGACACACAGTTTAGCGAGGGTCCAACTGTGATGCGAGCCGCACAAACCGAAAACATAATCCGTCCTGTACAGATTGGGGCAAAGATAATCCTAATCTTTAATGTAAAATATATACATTGGACAATGAAGTCGGGCTTCATGTAAACACTGCTGGCACATGAACCTTTGTACACAATGGCGGCGGTGTTGTACAGAGAACTAGCGTGTCGCTTGCTGGTTTCAGCCCACACGCCACTAATCAGATAATCCAGAAGCCGCTTGTGGGTCCGATAGGTCGGCCAAAGAAACGCTCTGCATTTGAGTCAAAGCGTCAACAGCACTGCACCGCTGTTGCCTTGGAGCCACACAATGAGACGTCAACACTGACAGAGGGGCACGTTACTAATTCCTTTCCCCTTAGCGATCCTCTCCGAGACCAGTCACTACATAAGCAAGTGGATAAAAAAAATGGATTAGTGCATTTTAAAATGGGTTAGTGGTGACGTGTAAAGCCTCGGGCAGCATGTGAACGATCCATGTCATGCTCGTTTGGTAAATACTAAATAAGAAGTAACAAAGTGAACGTCCAGCCCTGTGGACAGCGGGAGCAACGGACAAACTGCACATCTGGCACAGCTGCACGCCGCAACCAGCACACAGAGAAAGAAAAGTAAAGAGTAAACCGAAAGAACCAACATTATAACCAGTTTCCCGGTCAAACAAATCCAGCCCAAAGGAACCCGTTTGCAGGAGGTCGACATAGAGAAGCAGTAATGTGACTTTTCATCCAGCCGTCGACATTCCCTCTCGTGTAAGAGCGTAACACAAGTTATTCTCTCTCACTGTGCAATCCTCAACGCTTGGCGAGATAGATAATGCTGGTTTGACGGGTTTGGAGCTGATGTCCCACTGCAGGCAGCGACCGCATGCCCCCCCACCCGGTAAACACGGCTCCAGTGAGCATGTTTAACAAAGACAATACAGTCACGGGTTCGCTGGATCACTGCAGTCAGCTCATCTGGCTGCAGGTGATACAACCGCACTCCCATTACTGTTTCAGCGAGCAAAGCGCTTGTTCATTTATTGGCGTGGGACTCTGCGGGACATGAGGCTTGTGCTGATAAAAGTCCATTTTAAGCACAAGTTGAAGCTGGGACGTTTAGGAGAGTTTCATCACCGTGAAAGAGCCGGATTCAAAAATAGAAAGTGCTGCACTCCAACAAAGAACTTTGACCACTGTGCAGTCAGACCGCGCCCCCCCCGCCTCTCGTCAGGCCGCGGGAGATAAGGCCGCTTGTCCTTAACATGCCCGCCCGCCCGCCCCCCCGTGCACTCATTTAACCAGCTCCGGGCCGTCGAGATCCATCGCAGGATTGTGGCCGCGGCCTCTCGGCTCACGCGGGAGCCTAATCTCACACCAGGGGAGCTCTTAATAAAAGGCGCAGCGGCCGTCTTATCGGGTAATCTACCGCCAAAGACACGGCGCACATGGAGGAGCGAAGCCTCCCTGACGTGCTCTGCTGTCCCACAAACAACTTCTGTGAGAATGGTGTTACGGGGGGAGGGGGGTGGGGGGTAGCCGTTTACCTGTGAGCGACTGGGCTTTTCGCTCGGCCCTCTCCAGCAGTTTGGCAACGGGGCCGTTTTTGCTCTTCTCTGAGCTGTGGAGCTGCTGCTTTTCCTTCACCTTCGCCTGCAGGGCTTTAATACTGAGCTGCAACTGGCTGGTGTACTTCTCATGCTGCAGGAAGAGACGGGGTCAGGAAAGGGGGGGGGGGGGTTGCAGGATGTGAGAAAACCTCGGCAAAACATTCATCACAGACGTATCTGTTCTCAGGCATACGCAGTATGAGGAAGACTATCGACTTCTCCTATTTGTTGTTGGAGACAACGGACAGCAAACACATGTACAAACACCTTAAATATGCATCAACAACAGTTTCACCTTTTGTGGCTCATCAGCATATTGTTCGGTTTAGTCTATTTGTTTCTAATTGAATTAGTTATGTGAAAATTGTAGAAAGGGGTCCACAAATGAATTGATAATACAAATAATAAGAGGTACACCGTTGGTGCTACTTACTTTCAGAGCTTCCTCTGGGACCTTGTGTTGACTTCTCTCCAGGATATATACATGAGCATGTGCAGGAGGAGTTAAAGTAAACTTACATTTTTGTAAAACAATCAGAAAACACAAGAAAAATGTACAAAACCACGAATCCACTAACCTCAGGTTTAGTGCATGGTCAGTTTAAATCTTTTCTGTTCTCGGGGGGTCAAAGGGTGCTGGAGAGTTTCTATTCACAGTCAAACATAATCTAAAACCCCTGACTGGAAAACCACAGGAGATTAACATGCCGATGGAAAAAAAAGATCAGTGGAAAAGAAATGTTAAAAATGTGTGACCGACGCAGCTGCCGGCCGCCGGCTCTCTTCAGCACCAAATTAAACCGAACAAAGTTAAACGCGGGACGCGTTTTTGAATGAGCAGCGTGTTTGCAAAGGATATCATAGCCGAAGCGAATGACGTCGGACAGCTTGAGGGTGATGTACGTCTGGTCGGGGATTCTTAGGTCGTTCACAAACGTCTGCAAAACGAAGGAAAGTAGAAAACATCGAGCTCAAAACAAAACTTTCACTGGCCACTAATGAGGTAAATGTGTCGCCTCACGGGTTCCTCCTAATTCCTAGTAGCCCGCTCCCAGGTACGCTAAGGTGCTTTGAAAGTTAATCCGTAGGCGCATTAAAACCGATGAGATTATGTCGTTATGCAACGCCCCGGGGGGATCCATTAGAAGGCTAAACGTCCAGGTGGAACACAGCAGAGGTTGGAATTCGGTTACACGTCCCGGCGCTGTTCTGCTCTGATTAGTTTTGGGCCGCGGCCACCGGGGCCAAGAGAAACACTCTCTGAGAACAAAGGAGGGTTTCTCCCGCTGCTCAACTCTGGATTTCACCGGGCTAATGGTGCGGTGAAGTGGCAACGGAGCAGCAAAGGCAGAGAGAGAGCGAGAGAACGAGAGAGAAAAGAATGGGCGGCCAAGAGAATCCAGTCTCTTGATTACCAGAGTTCCGCCAAACCGGCCCCGTGGCACACAAAGCGAGGCCTTCTGCGCTCCCGTCTTCAGGTGGACTCACTCACCCCGTTCAAGCTGCCCAAGTCCTTCACCATGTGCTCGTCCGCGTGTTGGTCATAGTTGATCACCGCGTGCTGCTTGTCCACGCTGCGAGACTGAAACCAAAGAGAAGCAAAAAGGGGCGTTGGGAGATTCAATTAGTAGTACCTGGTTTTAGGTACGACTTCACCTTTCACGTCAAACAGGATCCTTCGTGTCACAGACGCTAAACTGTGATTTGAAAGCTAAAACAAAATGCATTGAGCTTAGAACAGAGGAACAAACGATTAGGTGTTTAAAAGACTATTTGGAGCCGAAAAGCCGAACCGTGTCAGAAGGCAGGAAGCAGTGCTGAGCACTTAAGCCGAGCAACAGAAAAGTCTGCATCATCTCAGACTGGGAGAGGCTGAGGTTGTTTTTTTGGATCCGGCGACGCCTAAAATGTTCAATCCACCCGACATCTGTGGGCGGCACAACGCGCCGACTTAGTAAAGAATAAACTGTGTCTGTGGCACCATTCCTCCGTCACGGAACTAAATGCTATTTCACCAAAACCACAAAGAAATCGTGCTTATAACAAACACACGGATGGGGGGAAAAAACAAAAACTGGTGGAATGCTTGAGCTGCGTTTTGAGTCATTGTTTGGAGACCGTGGAGAGGAGGGGGGGGCGCAACTTTGTTTGTCACTGGGTTACACATTGAGAACCACACACACACAGCATAAAGGGAGCCTCCTGTCAGTCAAGAGTAATAACACTCTTTTTGGACAGATTAGGATGAGGACACTGTCATCACCAAAGTGGGCGCGCGCACACACACACACACACACACACACACACATTATCTCTCATTCGTGCTCTTAAAACACACGCACCTGCAGCATCAGCTCGCAGTCATCCCTGCCAACAAAGATCATCTCCCGTGGCAACCGGTGGCGTGTGCCAGAGCTGCTGACCAGAAACCATGACGTCACACTCATGTTGGGGCCACCAGTCAGGGCCGCCCGGGCATCCTGGGAAGACAAGACAACAAACGACATTTCAAGCCAGACCAAACCCGCGCGGCTCAATGAATGGATTTATAGAAAATGCATTTAAAATAACCACTGTGTGCGTAATGTGCCCATTCCGCGTGTGCACACGACTCACACATACCGGTGTTGTGTTTAAATGACGAGGTGTAGCGTCGAGGATGCTGCGAAAACCAACGTTAGCTCTCAGCTCACCTACAGGTGCTCGGCTGCTTCTACTTCCGGTAACGAATAAAACGTCACTGCCAGAGAAATATCAGCACGTTACACCTGGACTGCGGGTATTTAACGTGTCGCCAGGGCAGCACTGCTAGTTACGTTGAAAACCGCGAGGTGACACGGTGGGTTTTGTTTAGCGAACGCCAGCGAGCAACCGGCTCCACCGAAACGAGCCGTTTTTTTTTTGTTTCCTAATCATTTGATCCCGCGAGCACGTAACGTCACCTTCAACGTCTTCTCCGTCTTACTCCAAAGCGAAGCCAGTGTTTAAAGTCCGACAGCGGATGGAACTCGATGACCGACATGTACCAAAAAAAAAAAAAAGAACAGCGCACCAGGTAAGACGGGACAGGTAATTTTTCGAGCACACCCTCTTCTTCCTCTGGGAGCGACAATCAGGCGAAACTCTCCTCCAACGCCTCTCCCGGTGACGTAGGTCGACGAGTCTGTCACAGGCTCAGCGGGCTGAGGCGGGAGGAGCTCCCACTCTGTTGGTTTTTTCCAGATTCAACAAAAAAAACAAATTTTGTAGTTTAGCGTAATTCAATTGTTTATTGTGCATGTGAACCAATAATAACAACGTATTGTTTTTTATTATTATTTTTTATGTTATTAATTGGTATGTGGCAACAACGTTTTTTCAACTTATTTTTGTCTGTTTTGGGTTTTAGGTGTGTATATAATATATAATGTTTTATCCTTGACCTTCACTCAGGTAAAAGTAGCAATATAATAACCCAAATAATGGGTTAATTTAGAGCGATGTTGATTATTATCACTTAGGAATCACATGTAACCATAACCATAACGGGGGTCGTCGTGGCGCAGGGGTTAGAGAAGGTGTGCTGGGAAGCACAAGGTTGTTGGTTCGATTCCAGGCTGCCCCATGTTCCACGTCGAAGTGTCCCTGAGCAAGACACCTAACCCCTAATTGCTCCCCGGGCAAAAATGTGAAAAAGCCTTGGGTTTAAAAGTGTAATGTAAGTCGCTTTGGATAAAAGCGTCTGCTAAATGACATAATGTAATGTAATGTAATGTAACTTTGAGCTTGAAGTTGAGTTAGAGCTTAACTAAATTGGACTAATAAATCAGCCTGGCAGATATATCTTCTGTTATGGTTTTATTAACTGTGTGTGTGTATATGTGTCTTCTAAAAACTAACAAGGAATGGGCCCAAAATAGAAATAATGTTGTGCAGAAACTGTTCAAAAAAAGAAAAATGGAGGAGTCCACATCAAGTTTGTTTATGTTTATATTTTTTTAGAAATAACTAACACTGATATATTGATAAAATAATTAAGGCCCAAATGTGGTTCTAATTGTTGTATTTTGAGCATTTTGAATTGCTTTTCTGTGATAAACCTTGCCTTGCAAATATGCTGCTACTTGTCTCACTTGTACTTTCTAGGGATTTTTAAATTGTGTGCTGTCATATTTTGATGAGAAGCTGCTTTCTATGAGCTCAAGTATAGTAATGAATGTAATTCCTTTAAAAAAAAATACAATTGACACAATTGGAGACATGGATTCGGGATCATTTTTTGACCATTTGGTGAGTCATCGTCTCCGTAGACGATCTTTGCCTTCACTCACATTCATTGGACTTTGTTTATCGCGTGTGTCACGCTGGCCCGGTGGAGACAACAGAAAGGAAGCTATCTGCTTGAAGTACAATAGATGATTGCATTACCGTGTTAACCAACGCATACTGAAATTGCAACTGCTGCGTGCGAGAATCGCGTAGATATGAGATATGATGAGTTTATGAAACACGCATTAGAATACCGCACCCCACGTTAAATTATATTTGCAATACGACGTCTGCATAATCATTTGATTTCACATCTCGTTGAGTATTTCTAGATACGGAATATTAATGCAACGGAAATGAATAAGCCCACTGCCCACTAGATGGCGCTCTAATTCCAATTTAACACCCAGATCTCCGCCGAAATCTTCTCTTTATTGTCCCAAAATAAATTCAGGATGTTAACGGGAATTTCAGTGAAGCCACAAAGTGACAATGTTTCCCTGTTGATGTCAACGTTCTTCCTTCCTGCAGTATCTCAACGCTCACGTTTACATTGCTCTTTAGTTAGTAACAAAGGAGCAGAATTATTACCTCCAGTTAGTGTCTTTGTGAGGGGGCAGAGCTCCAGCTCCAGCTCCTGGGTCTGTTTCGGGCCGTGCAGCTCAGGTGAGGGACGGTTGTCAGGTGAGGCGCCACACTGGGCGCCGTGCATTGCAGCTGGCCATGGAAAGACAGACTGTGAGTGTGAGGCCTGGCTGTCAACATCTGCTCCAGAGACCGTACCATCTGGCCGTGGGGCCCGGGGGAGGGCGAGGGAGAGGGGGGGCGAAGCACCTCTCTCGTCACAGACCAGCTGCAGGGCCCCAGAACGCGCCCCCCCCCCGCCGGAGCCGCCCTGCAGAGGCGGAGAACGCGGGCGGCCAGGACTCGAACGTTTGTCTCCAGCACTTAGCTGTGTTTCATCGGTCGGGTGCAATGTAGCTATTTATTCAAAAGGTATTTAAGTTATTAAAGCTTATTTGTGTTTAAGGTCCGGGCTAAAATATTTCACAATAAAAGTCTTGTCACAGCTTTTTGTTAAGACCTTTTATTTCATCAATTTGGAAGAAACAAGTAAAAACAGTGTACAAAGTTTATATTATTTGTTTACTAAAGCGGGTGTCCTCAGTCTCAGGAATATTGGAGGGCAAGTACAAAAGAAGTTGAGATAAAAAAAATAAAAATAAAAAGTACAAAATGAATTTCCCTATTTTCAGAAGGTGACAGCAGAAGGGTGAGCGTGCATACGAATAAGTAACAATCGGAAACCGAATAAGAGGTTTGCAAATGATTTGAAGTGAAAACAATACCATAAAAACCATTACATTCAATAACGTATGATGCAATTTTGAAAAATGATTATGTCATCTTAAAAAAAAAAAAAAAAAATGACTGAAGCACTTTTGGAAACTTAGTAGACTTTAAAATAGGACTTTCAGTTCCAAAGGATCTCGCTTCAGCCTCAGCTGTCCGTAAAAGGGTGATCATTCACACAAGCCATTCTCGTTTTATTTGTATCCACAACATTTGAACTTACAATATAAAAAAAGATGCTAATTTAGTCTTTTACCAACCATAAAGTAAACAAATAAGATTCCAAATACAATCATTTTGGGACAGCAAAGTGCATATCATTGGCACAGTAAAACTCAATTTAGTCAATGCTGGTCTCATATAAATAACTCAGAAACGCGTGAAGGGACCAAAAGGGCCTCGAAGTAGCAAATCAAAGACGACTCCTTCTGCACGTCCCCTGAAGCCCGGTTCGTTTTGCAAAGTATTCCTAAAGAAGTGTATAACGTTAAGGTGACCTCATTGAGGCTGCGGTGAATGCACCGGGTGGAAAACACCCAATACTGTACATGGAGGAAAAGCCCAGAGGAGAGAAGAGTTTCTGATTGGTCAGCAGGGGACCAACCCATCAGAAGGAAACCAGGATGTGTCTGCACAGGAACTATAAGCACGCGCTTCAAGGGGGCAGGAGTTATTTATTAGCCTAAAACAGGCATCTGGGGTCATCTCTGTGAAAACAGTCAGGGAGGAATCCTTTGCAGGACGGCGTTTCCCCGAAATGATTCATTTCCTTCTTGTTTGTCTGCCGTTCCTCACATCAGAGCGTATTGCACAATCGATTCGTCAGACTCATTGTGGTGGATGGTGATGAAAACAACACAGGCGGCTGTCGGTTTTGCATCACGGTAGTAGAAAAGTGATGCAAAGTCCCCTCTGGGAGACGGTGTTTCAGTCTTAGCAGGGTCCCCCGTGTGGTACAATAAGCAAGTATGCAGAATGATTGACTTTATTTGATACGGTACATTCACTTTAGAAGCCAGAAACGTCTCGAAGTCTGAATGGCATTTGAATTTCTCACAAGTCTTAAGAGGAGAAAACACGGATTTATTACCCACTCAACAACAAAACATATTTTTGGTCCACAGTTTTCATATTTCGATTTTTGAAATGGTTGATTCATATTCACGTGTATACTTTCAATGCAAAATTCACATCAGTGGCCTAATTTATGCACAACGTGACTACATGTCCCCGTTCATCATGGTGTATGGATGCCTGCTCAGTATACAACAGAACGACTAGGAGATGCAGGGTCGTGTCCCCGTGGTCAGTCTTCAAAAAGGGCCTCACAGAACAACCACAGGCAGCTTTTGTTTCCCCATTTCCTCCTTCCTGGAAAACACAACTTGCAGATTGTAAGTGTTGCATCCACCAACGGCGTCTGCAGACGATGCGGGGGAGGACGGGGCTGTGGCCCCGGTCTTTTGAGGGTGCAGTCGGGCGGGGTGGGGCGGAGTCAGCGGCCCGGGGGGGGTGTGGTGGGTGGTGGTGGTGGTGGTGGTTAGGCCGTCCCACTGGCAGAGTAGGAGAACTGGGGGAAGTGGGGTCTCCGCTCGCTGTCGAATGACTCCATACTGTCATCTGAGGACACAGGACAAGCAGAGACAGACGACAGTAATAACGAGATGAGATCAGATAGGTTGATTCTTCCCAATCTCAAAGGCTACATTACAACATTTAGCGGTAGAATTTTCGGAACTTCTTGGACTTTATTTGCAGAGTGAGATAAACATTCGACGCTCCGCCTGCCCGGCCATAACATCCACCTTTCTAAAACTCTTGTACAGAGTCAATAGAGTTTTAAGTATTACTCTTATACCGGAGCACACCTGCCTCCACGGACTGGCTGTAGTTCACACGCGCGTGAGGACTGAGGGGCATCACACTGAAGGGAACCTTCATCCGGTCAGCTGGTTATTTTATATCGCAATTGAAAAAGAACGGAAATGGGAACCTCATTTAAGGGTTTTCACAAACTTATTCAGGGACAGTCAGTTGGTAACCACATTTTCAAGGATTAGTAATTCAGTCCCCCAGGAGGGGGGGTGGGAGGTGGTGGTGGGAGGTTTGCTTTCATCTTGAGTGAATTGAAATTTTAATTCCCCATTCTTAATAAAGTCTCGCAGTAGGTGGCGGGAAATTAGTTGGCAATTGATCTTCCGCTGCACGAGCCTCAGCCCACATCTGCCCCGGTGTCACACTCCAGCAGCAAAGCATCACACCGAGGAACGTGGGCGGATTCCACCGTGTGGCGTAACGCACGAGTGAAGTCGTAGTGAGGGTTCAGCATGATTGTGTGTGTGTGTGTGTGTGTGTTCTGGTCGTACCTTGTCCGGGGGGCGTAATAGTGATGGTCTGTGCTGTGAACTCCTCGTCGAAATATCGAGTGTCCGTCTCCGAGGTGACTTGGGGCTTAAACGGAGGGACCAGCTGTTGCGAGAGGAGATAGAAATACATCAGCACATCAGGGGCGGCGGTCGGTTGGGTAACGGCCGTCCTCCACATCTTCTCCAGACGCTAGCACTCCAAGTGACGCAACCCGGGGGGGGGGGTGGGGGCGCCTTTCGGGGTCCGGTGTCCATTCGGCGATGACAATTTGAAGGACACGAGGTTGAAACAAAGCCACTGACCTTTTTCTCGTACACGTCTTGCCATTCGATTCCGGCGAAGAACTTGTGCTGCATGATTTCCTTGGCGTCCTCAGAACCTCCACCCAACCTGGAAGACGAGTACGAGAGGAGCGATCAGGAGGCGGGAAAAGAAAAAGCTTAAAAAGCTGATGCGCAACCGATGCAGTGGTGGCGGCGGCCCCCCCTTACCTCTGCGTGGGCTCCTTCTTAAGAAGGCCGGAGAGCAGCGAGCGCGCCTCGGGGCCCAGAGTCCGAGGAAAGCGGATGTCCTCCATGAGGATGAGCTCGAACAGCTTCTCGTGGTCCTGGTTGTAGAAAGGCAGTCGGCCGCACATCATCTCGTACATCACCACCCCGAGACCCCACCAGTCCACAGCGCGGCCGTAGTCGTTGTCTTCTAGCACCTTGGGGGTGGAGAAAGGCGTGGAAGTGGATTTTAATGCAGCTGCTGGGATGCTCCTCAGTTCAGGGTTCACCCAATAAAGAAAAGGTTGTGTTTGAATATAATGACCCTAAAGCAACTGTCCCCCCCACCCCCTCCCCCCCGGGTTGCTCCTTTAAGGCAACCGCAGCCAGCACTGACTCACATCTCACATTAGGAGCATGGGTAGAGTTTCCCCTGGACCTCTGCATATGTAATCCAAGCGAACGCGTGGCAACAGACACGGACCAGTCCGACAAACAAACCGCTCAAAAAGAGCACAACCAAGGCGCCGGGCAGAGACGGGGGAAACGTTTAGTCAAATTATTTCCATAGGATGACTTTCCTTAATAAGACAGAAGCCTCCAGTGTGGAGCCCGGCAAACAGAGCAACCTGTTGCATGACTAATGTGCCGCAGAGCGGAGTAGTTCCAAGGTCTCCGGGGACGTGTACCGGATTATACCTCGGCGGGCGGATGTTGAAGGTGAAATCAAGACAAGGAGAACAGTCTGTTCCCTTAAACCTCGAGCAGCGTGATGCTGAGCGATCCGGACCTAAGAATAGACACTTTGGTATAAAAGACACGGGCGGATTAATACAATTAGATATGGACACAACAGTGCACGGGCCAAGAGAGAGAGAGGGTCCGCGCAGACAGATGGTAGGATGTGTCCGTAAAAGGAACAAGAACTACTGTGTGTGTGTGTGTGTGTGTCGCGCATGTGGCAGTGGGCACTGCGCCTGGCGCTGTGGTGAGCAAGGAGGAGGAGGAGGAGGAGGAGGAGGACGACCGGGAGTGCAAGGGGAGTAACGCGAAGCCGGTGTGGGGCTAGGATTACTGGGCCGTCTCTATTTCCAGCGCCGCTGTCGTGTGATTCACACCGTGCGACAGCTGGGCCCGCAGCTGCCCCATATATGTAGAAGAGCGCCACAGCTGTGAGGCTGCCAGGAGCGCAGGAGCCAAGCTCATCCCTCATATACGTAACCAGGACTGCCTGCCTGCCTGGGCCCCAGCCCTGATCTAATACGGTTACACTGGCCCAAAGGAGAAGAGACGGGATGGGTGGGGGGGGGGCGCTCCGCTGTATGACTTTTCATGCTCGGCGACAGCCAATCAGCTTCCGGGCTTGTGAATGCGGCTCAGTTTCGGTGGCTGGATTCCCCCGAAAGACAATCCCACTCATCCCATTCTTCTTGTATTAAAAAAAGTCAATTTCTGCCCATTTTTCCCTCCAAGGACCAAAGGGGTGGGGCAGATTGGGTTTTTCCCCCCCCCCCGCCCCCCCAACCCCCAAACTTACCTTGCTCTGGGTGGAATATTCCCAGACGGTACAGCATTCCTGTGCAGCGCACACACACACACACACACACACAACAAGGTCATTGTTTACTGCAGAACAACCTGTAACACGGCCTGCCCCGCACTCCATGGAGACACTCGCCAGCGACCCTGTTGCCATGGTAACGGCCCCTGATGTCTCCCTGCTCTCCGCTGCCGGAGCTGTCACAGACTGTGCTACCCCGTGTGGAGGAGCGATGGAGGCGAGAACCGCCGCCTCGATGGCGCAGTGCTGATGGTTGGAGGAAAGGTTCGGTCTGACTGATGAAGACAGCAGGTATATGTTCCTATGAGGCCACCTGAAGCATTGTGGGATAGCTGTGGAGGGGGGGGGGGGGCTCGGGGTCAGGCGAGGGATCCAGGGCTGCAGTGGTGTCACACAACAGCTGTAGCCAATGTGATCCTCTTCAGGGCGGAAGCTCACGTTTCCTCAGGCGCTGCGAGCCAATAAACCCCCCCTCCCTCCCCGACCGCTTCCCAAAGCAGAAAATTCCAAATGAAGGCTAAAAACAACGAAACGGCAACTGTGTCAACATGGACAACCTTCACCCGGAAAACATTTTTAAGGACACACACACACACGCACATTGCGTTTCACAACACTTGTCATACCTGCACGGAATCGTAGCCACGCCCCCCCCATTCATACGAGAGCAGGCTGCCCTGCCCTGAGCACACAGCACACTCATTAACTCACGGGCTCCAGCTAGAGATTAGAAAGGCATTTTGGGACAGCTGCCCTTCCTTCCACATGCGTCGTCTAATCCTCGGATGCCCCTCATGACACGCGGTGCATTTTTGTCTGGAATCTAAATCAGGTTGTTTTGGGGTTATTAAGGGACACCATGGCCGGGGTAGGCAATGAAACCCATCGACTGCACGCGCTTCCTTGGAGGACACAACGGGGTCACAATCATGGAAGGAAAGTCTTCATCCCACCACAGGGATTCAGACGCTTTGAAGTTTTCAGTCTGGTGCCTCTAAAGTGACCTGGAAGGTTACTTCGTGTTTGTTTTTCTTTTAATTTGTCATCCATCTGCATGTGGCAGCTTTAAAACCCAGGGAAAGGTGGACCGAGTCACTGTAATGGTTACCTCAGGTGCTAGGTACTCTGGCGTCCCACAGAAAGTCTTCATGGTGGCTCCATCTTTGATCCCCTCCTTACACAAGCCAAAGTCTGTGATCTTTATATGTCCGTCTTTGTCCAGCATGAGGTTTTCCAGCTGAGTGGGAAATACAATTAATACAGATGTTAGCATCATTGTAAAACGGCTCAGTGTTTAGGCGGGAACGAGAGGAAGGAGGTGAATACCTCTACACCAGATGTCCTTACATTCGTATTTTTATGGGCCGTCTAATTAGTAATGAGGAATGGCAACATGTCACGAATGTCTTTTCTATAGCAGAATAAGTGTTTCTGTTAATGAATTTTCTTTTTCTCAACATTACAGCTTTTCCATCACAGCAAAATATAAGAACTTTAATGCAACGGTTTTAAATTCCCTTAACCGCCGGTGAATGGTGACATACTACAAGTTCACGTAAATGTGTGTATAGTGCAGTGTCATGACTAGAGGCTGCACGGCCTTTTAACATTGTGTCCTCTCGGCCGGTGTGTGTGTCTCTTCCCCCTCTCAGTTAAAGTCACCTGGCAGCTGTAGCTCACACGTGGCCAGCAGCGCCCGGCCAGAGTCAGCACATCCTCCAATCCTGCTACCCTGGCATTTTCAGGAGAACCCAAGCAGGCTGGGAGCCCGCCTCATAAACCCAAAGGAGATGGGGGGGATGGGGGGGGGAGGAGCGCGCTGTGCTGACCTGGCTGCTATAGTTTTATCAGCTGGAAGTAGAAGGGCTAGATGTGTCCAGCAGCCCCCATAAATCGAATCCATCAATGATCCGGTCTTTAGTGTAGCTTTTAAAATAAGGCAGATATTAAAAATTATATATAAATATTTAAAAGCAGCAGCTTGCCGCGTCTTTACTTCAGGATGTTTCTCTCACGACGCTGTACTGTCAGCATTTAAAATGACATCAATTACGTGTTAAGTGCACAGAATCCGCTCTCTGAGAGCACTGTGCACATGCGATAACCCCGAGGCCGTGGCCATGTGTTCAGAGACGACTCGTGGTTATTTCCGTCTCGCTGCAGTGAGCGTGTGGACCGAGCCGCCCTGCAGCTGCACTGAGGTCTGGACACTGATCTGGCAGGGGGGGGGGCAGATCAATAAACCCCCGGCCACTGCTCTCGATGGGAGGAAAACCCTATTTATATCCCAGGAAGGGACACAGGGGGGGGGAGTGGGGGTGAAGACTCGTATCCTCATCTACCTTTAGATCTCGATAGACCACGTTTCTTTCAGCGTGCAGGTAGTCCAGCGCCGACACGATCTCTGCGCCGTAGAACCGCGCCCGCTCTTCTGAGAACACGCGGTCCCTCGACAGATGGAAGAAAAGCTAAGGTAGGGGGGGAAGAGGAAAGTTGTTCGAAACAGTGAAAGCGGTCACACGGTTCCGACTGTTGCGATTCATTCAGGTGCAGATTTCTGAGATGGTTTAAAGCGGTTTACCTCCCCGCCGTTGGCGTACTCCATGACGAAGCACAAGCGGTCGTGTGTCTGGAAGGAGTATTTCAGCCCCTGCAGACAGAACATCGAGAGCGCTCAAAGCAGAACTCGGTGACGCTTCCAGTGAATTCAAGAGGAAGCTGACATTTAAACAGCCGATTGTAACATCAAACACAGACGTCAAGTTGTTTTTTTTTGTTTTTTTTAACTGCAGCAACGTGCAGCCAGTGAGTCGAGCGGCTTCAACAACTGTTGTGTGGCAAACATTGCTCCCATTCATCGCACGCAGCACATCCCTTTGTGCGCTGCCTCCAGCCCACCACTTGGAGCTAACATTTTGTGGGAGCTCTTCACAACAGTCCACCTCAGACTTTACAGAGAAAAAGCATAAAAACAAAAACAAAAACAGGAGGAGTCCAGTGTGGCTATAAAAGGGAGACCTCGACTGCAGCTCTTCAAAACATTCCTGGTAAAACGGCCCCTTTTTTTTTCTCCCCTGAATGGGTGCTGCTGTGTTGGATTGAAGAGGCTCCAGAGGATCTGTGCGAGTTAAAATAAGGTTTGGTTTAGGTATGAGGAGGGGCTCCTTACTGTCAAGAACGGATGCTTTGAATTCTGGAGGACTCTGTTCTCTGTGAGTGTGTGCGCCACTTCATCCTGCAAAGAGGGGAAAAAAAAAGAGAAGGAAAAGTGAAGCCACAAAGAGTGTTTGTGCAGCTCTCACAATGGGTTCCTATTTAGGTATCAGTCATTGCTCCACTGCCCTCCCCTCCCCAAATACTTGCCCATTGTCATCCACTCACTTTTGCTACGATCACCTCCTTTTTTAGGATCTTCATGGCGTAGTAGCGTCCTGTGGCCTTCTCCTTTACCAGGATGACTTTGCCAAAAGTGCCTTTTCCCAGAAGTTTGAGGTATTCAAAGTCGTGCATAGTCTGGGGGGGGGGGGAGAAGGTGGCGTCCGGTTACAAGCCGAGGCATTAACAAACTCACGCTGCGACTAGCCGGGGGACACAATCCCTCTGCAGACGGCACGGACGCGTTCGAGGCACCATGTAGACCACCGTGCAATTTCCACTCCTCTAATGGTTTGGCCTGTGCGTGGTTGTGTCTCAGTTAACCTTTGACCCCCGGTACCAAGGAGAATGTCGAAAATGGTTATGTGAGGGACATTCAATACGGTGGCCCCGGACCTTTATGTCACGACACATGTGGGGGGTTGAGGAACCCGGTGGACACACTATCCGGTGCTAAGCCACCCGCGGCTGATGTTTGGAAAAGTAGCTGGGGGGTTAGGGGAGGGGGGAGGGTAATGATTGACTTGAATAGGCGTTTGAGTTGAATGTTTATGATTAGGACAGCAGAGAGAAGCACACACACACACGGCAGACTGAAGAGCCCTTACCACTTTCTGTCTGGGTTTGGTCAGGTAGATCTCCATGTCCATGGGGTCCGGAGAGGAGTCCATCATCTCCTCCTCCTGTTTCTGCAGGCCTTCAGCCACGGCTTGGATGGCTTTAGTCCATTCTTCCCTAAAGGGAGAAACGGCCAGCGAGAGATCGCATCAGCCCATTTACCATCGAGCAAGCCCAGCACTTCACTCGTGTAATTGTCTTCTTATCCACAGGAAGGCAATTTCAAGTGCGAGTTCTGCCAATGGCCAGTGGACCGCATGCAAGTGCAAAACAAGATTAAACGTGCAATGTTTGAGAGTGCTTCTGCGGGTTAGAAAAACAGAGCTCTTAGAGACCGCTTTCTAGCAACAGGGGCGAATTCTGTGCATGGGAGTGATTTGCGTTTCACTGCTCAGTGAGCGGAGAAGTGTGCGCGTGTGTGCTCCTCGCTTGCCTCTCCTCGGGGGTCTCCACGTGGAAGGTGCGCTCGATGACAGTGGTCCACTGCAGGCAGCGGATGATGAATGTGTTGGGCTTGGGCCGTTCCGTCTTCATCAGCTGGCACTCTGACCACAGCCAGGGAGGGAGGGAGGGGAGGGGAAGGGGAAGGAGATGGCGAGAAGGGGCCAGTGTGTAAGGGAGCAGAGGGGAGAGACAGACCCACAGTTATAGCCATTTATCTTTATCGCCACCCCAACAGACACAACAGGCCAATTTGGAAAAGAACAGGTGCACTCTGGTGGAGGAAAACCACTCTGATCCTCGACTTGTCAGCCCAGTCAGAACTTTGCTACAATAGATTTTAAATAAATCATTTTGATCACATCAAATGCAGAATTCCCTAGACTCAATGAACATACAAATGAACACAAATAGATAAATAAAATAATGAAAAAATATATATATATAAAATATTTTTTATATATTTTCAAATGATTTATAAAAATATTTATTTGTTGGGTAGAGCACATATATTTTTTATCACGGATTAATTTGCAAATATAAAATGTAAAATATAAAAAATCTCAACGTGAATATCTTCAGACAAAACACAAAAGATATGAAACCGAGTGGAACAGTGGAAGAGAATGTTTGTGGGCGAGATAAAATGTGCTAATCTTATAAAGGAATTATTACAAAAACACATCACATCTTTTCCCTCCATTACGCTCAATTCTCACTTTTGCAGCAAATAATGGTCTCGTAAGCAGTTTGCAAAAACAATTACTCACAAACGTCTATTAACTGAATTCGGAAAGCGGAGATTTCCATCTGCACCTCCTTCAAATCAACATCTGTTCCCAAATGGAACATGTCAGCAGATACGTCAGAACGTGACACAGAATGGCTTGTGCCTGATGGATGGGGGACAGGGGAGTGGACCACCACTGAGATCCAACATGGCTCCATCAGGCTGAACACGCCATCCAGCTGCAGCAGCCCCGTCAGCGGCGCCGCGCCATGTGTCCTCCGTGGTGGGGTCGCGGCGGTGACAAAAAGGCGCTGATGGAGAAGCAGCCTCAGAGCGGCGCCCAGATAAATACTTGAGATCGGGCGGCTAATGGCCACGATAACTCACGGGTGTCGGGGAGGAAACATTTAGTTAAACAAACAGTATGCCGTCTAATTGCCGCGTTCAGTCATCTGCGCGGCTCGTCGCAGCGACTCGCTCCGACGCGAGAATGAACCGGCCCGCGATTCCGAGGAGCGTTTCGTTTCTTTGTTGCCTTTATTTCCTGTCCCAGTAAACTAAAAAGAAGAAAAACCGAGTTGTTGCTTAGGGAGGGGGGGGGGGGGGGGCTGAGAAGAGGAATGGCATCTGATAGATGTTAACGCAAGTAGCCAGACGTGGCGCGGCGCCCTTGTTGAACGGAACTAGCCGTGATGCTGCGGAGAGGAGACCGCCGCCGATTTGCTAATGTCTCTAATCATTTAACGTGGCGTGCAGTGATGGAGCTATATCTGGTTATAATATTAAGAGTGGGCTCCACTTCCTACTTAAAAACCGCACATGCGCTTTTTTTTCATGCTTTTTGGAATGGATAGAAAATCCAGAATACACGCGACTCCACAACAAGTATGTGAAAACATCTGGAACGAAAATGCGAAGTGAAAACAAAAGAGCCGAAACGAAATACGGCAAAACAAGCTGCCAAGGAATGCAGCGCTTTCTCAGAAGTAAATACTCACGTGCGACAGAGAAGTTATTTAAGGGGGTTTCCAGCTGGTCGACATCTTGCGGTCGCTCTTTGTAGCCGATGAAAGTACCATCGCTCTTCAGGAGGAAATACCGTGGCCTCCAGGTCTTGATGTATTCTCCTGATATGAGGAAGACAGAGAAAAAAAAAAAAAGCACCGGCCGAGTTACTTTACAGGAGACGGAGACAAAAAAATAGTTGTGAGAAAAGAGGTTTTCACCGTAAATGAGAAACCGAGGGAATGCTGATTAATGCACAGGCGGTTTCTTTACACTGATTAATGACAAAACAGTGGTGTCCTTTCTCTTCACATTTTAATTCCCAGAGGTGAAGCCTGTTTCCTGCAAACTAATTACTATGCTGTCCACTAGTGCTCTCTGAAATGACCACCTTGTCCCCGTCTCTCTCTTAGTGTAGGTCAGCTGCGGGACAAATGGTGGTTCCAGCAGGAGTCACAATGCACCTTTACGTTCAACGCGCGTCAGCTGGAGGTTCAGGTGTGTTATGCTAGCGGCGTAGTTAACGTCGCCTCGTCCCGCGAGAGCCAAGAGAAGATATTTCTGGACAACACCCGTAACGACGGGCCTGCCCGCGTGCGTCCAACTCACTCGGACACAAACTCATTCCGGTGATGCTTCAGGAAATGTCGTGCCAGATGTTGAGCAGACGAGGGGGAAAAAAAATAAGATTAAAAAAAAAATAGCTCACATACCATAACAAGGCAGCGGCACGCAGTGGAGGGACTTGAATATTTATACAGGAAAAGTGTAATTCATTTTTAATTACGCCGCCGCATATTAACCCCATGCAGAGCTGAAGCAAGCTGTCCTTAATTGCCCCATTTCCTCCAACGCAGAAGTGTGTGTGAGTGTGAGAGAGGCAGGAGATCTGTCAATATGAGCTGCTGTTACCATCCTTCAAACCCACACCTCTGACGGATGGAACGGAGAAGACGTCAGTCCGAGACGGAGCCGATCGAATCAGCAGCTGATCAAATATTTAAAAGAAGAGGACAAGAACTTACAACAGTGGCTGATTGTTTTATGGCCACCTCGAAAATGATTAACTTCCTCTTCCTGCTTCTTTGAGAAACTGACATGAGTAAACAACTCTAATGAGAGCAGGGGTCTGTTTCAAGAAGCGGGTTCAGTGGAAACTCAACTCTGGCTTGTCTGTTTCACAAAAGGGAGGTAACTGAAGCTCAGGCTCAGTCTCCATGGTAACGGAGCCTGTGAACATCACCTGGTCGGCAGCAGGTTTCCTTCAATAAACCTTGCGTTTCTTTCACAGTCTCCTCCCTCTGACAGCAGCCCAGCCAATCACACGGCGCGCTTTCATTTCCTCATTCATTCCAGTACTCTGTATCAGGCGGATTGTAGCGCAGTTTCCACACACGCACAAAGATGTTACGTTAAAGACTAAAGTGTTTTCTCGGACATGGCACGTCCTTTTCTGGACGATCCGGTTGATGAAGAAGCGGTTTTACGTCGCAGGGTGTGCAACGCGTTGGGAGAGAATATTGAGGCCCCGATTAGATATATTGTCTTTTCCAGATAACGACTTGTGTTTGAACGTTATCGTTTTTCTTCACAGTCCATCAAATATGTACATAACCTCACCCGTCCTCATATAAGTAACGTCACTCATCGTGGACATGCTCTCACGTCCGAGCACATTCTTTGTGTAGTATTACTTTTTTTGCAAACGGCAGTTTCCGTTACAACATTAGAATATTAGTAAAGCTGCTGTATGCAGAGCCGTGAGAAACGCGTGCGTCGCTCCGAAACGTCGCTTTTGTTCCCTGGACACAAACCAGTGAAGCCATTAAAGAGGAGAGATCCACAGGATGCACCTGAATAAAATACATTATAGCTTTAATACCATTGTACCAGTTTTTACCAGCGATATTATTCTTGTGATTAAATATGAGCCTGTGTGTATTTCAAGCCTGTGTGTACTGCATTCTAACAAAGTAAAACGTATGGATTATGATTAGTGTGTACATTAAAAGCATTAGTACATCCAGCTCAAGTTCGCCGACCGATTGATTGTGGTGGTTGCCATGGTGAATCGTGGTATCATGGCTCCATTCCTGCTGCCTTCATACTGTGGTGGTGCACACGCTCAACTCTGAACAAACTCTAAACAGCTGTTCTGAAACCCAAAACTCAGTTTCCCATCTCAGGGTGAATCAACTCAGAGTTTGTTAAACCTCCTACTTGAAACGGACCCCCGGGCTGCAAATTCCCCAAATATTCAAGTGAGAAAGTTATGGGAGGAAAAATCTTTCAATTCAATAGTCAACAAATTTGACCAGTGGTCAACAACAACCCAGAGGCTCTGCAGTCTGAAGAACATGTAAAGAAAAAGTGAAAAGTTTCCCCCAGAAACTTTGCGGCGCCTTTTCAAACCTAAACAGGACTTCTTCCATGTGGCCACACGAACGGTGAGAAGCACAGGTCACTCTGGCTGACCTCGTGCAGCCTTGTGACGCTCGCAGTCTTTGCATCACCTTCCAGCCGAGCAGCGAGCCATCCAGCCCAAAGCAAACATCCGAGCGTAAAAACACCTGATTTACGACCACCATTAAACTGGTGGCACCAATCACGACAGTAGGGAAACATCTGCCCGAGAGCACCGCGTACTTAACCATCCACAGCACATTTTTCATCATGGCAAGGGAGGATGTTTTTCATCAGTTTTGTTTTTTTTCTCTCTCCTTGTGCAGAGTAAGTGTTTTTAGCTCATTTAGCAATTAGCTCGACTTCAGATCTCCATTCTTGCCGCCTTCCAATAAATCCACCCCTGCTAGATGGGCCGTCCTAATTAAAACACACACACACGCACACCGGCCAGAATCCGTTTGGTGTATTCCCCTCATGTGTGTTTCAAGGCAACACAATTACCGTTTCAGAAGTGCACGCCACGCCGATCGACTTCCACAACAGCGTCACGTGCGAGCCGCTCTCCGGAGAATCCCCCCCCCCCAGCGCACGGCGTTATCCATCACAGCCCTTCAAGAGAACCAGACTCCCTGACTTCGACAGAAAATCTGAATAATTTTTTTTAAAAAGGCACAGTAGTAGGTGCCGCTTTAGGAGCACACGTAGCCCCGCGGGTGTCATGCGTGACCAAAGACGAGGGCGCGTTCAAGACAAACACAAGTAGCCCGAAATCTTTTATTTTACAGAACGGCTCCAGAGCCTTCCACACGGATCCTTGCTTCCCCAGCTGGTGCTGGTGTTCCGTAGTCAGGTTTTGGCTGACCCACATCCCTCAGCTGTGGTCCTTGCCAGCCCACAGCGAGGACAGTATGTGCACAATGCCGAGACAGAATAATCGGCCTCCCAACGGACAGCAGATCAAAAAAAAAATTATTTTTTTTAAATCGTGCTGGTCTCGCCTGCGGAGACTGAACCTTTAGCGGCATCGACGCAGCAAATAACTTCCAGAAAGAGTAAAGACCTTTTCTTCGTTCTAGCACACAGGTCACAGTTGTTCGTGCGTACGCATGCGCGTGCTTGTGTGTAAATATATTTTCCAGCGACAACCCTGTGTGCAGGGAATGGTGTTTGTGTGCAACATCCATTTTTCCTGCCAGCTCCACTGACTCACAGCACCAGCGGGGGGGTCATAGGTGACGCGGCAGCGTGTGCGAGCCAGTCAGGACATTCTCCATCGCCCTCGTCCAGGAAGATGACGACCCCGGCCAGTTAATTGTGCAACCGTAATATTAAGGACGAGACAAAGTCGGCATGGTCATTGGAGCAAGAGGAGAAGCTCTAAAACGGGCGGGATCCAGTAACACTCCAGTCTTCTCTCTCACACGCGCACACGCACGCACACTCACGGAGTTCAGTAAACACACACGCCTGCAATGTAAAGTGCTCGTTGTAGCCGGGAGGACCCTGAAACTTCCTCGTCTGCGTCTACAAACCTGGTCAAATGACAACAGTGGAAGCAGCTTATATCCGGCTGTGTGGGCGTGTGTGTGTGTGTGTGTGTGTGTGTGTGTCTTCACCAGATTGCAGCACAACGCCTCGCACAGTCTGCTCTCAGAGCATAAACAACAAAGATGACCCTTGTCAGCTTCCCATTTACACACATTTCCCCTTCAACATTTTTGATTCAGTTCTACTTTCCACACCGTGACCTTTCTACCGCACAGACATGACGAGAAAATGAAACGGGCAGCTGTGAGGAGAGAGGAAACACCGCGTTGTAACAAAGCGGTAATATAGACCCGCGAATAAACAGATCGCCTAATGTTTAACGTGATCCCGCAGAGTACACGCGGAGCAGCTCCCGTGCAAACGCGCGCCGAAGAAGACGGGACTCGAGCCTTCTGCTTCGTCATCACCTGTGAGAACTACACCACTTTGATGTCAACACGTTCTTGAAAAACAGGAAGCTGGCCGACAGGCAGACTGACCACAACTCGGATGAGACAAAAAGATAAAAAAACGCCCTGCAGCGTCCGCTCGCACTGTAACTGCCGGAGACGCGTAAAAAAAACAAAAAAAAACTTTTGCTGCGGGGGAAATCCACCGACGGGAGCTGCGTCCCCGGATCAAAGCTCTTCAAATAAAAGCGAGACAGCGGACATGTGGCCGAGCTCCATCACGTGGGGGGGGGCGGATGAGAGATGAGCGAACTACAGTCGGTGCAGAGTGGGGTGGTAGTGAGACAGATCACTACATTATGTTCCCCACATATGTGGGACTGCGAGCTCAAGTGCGTATGAGGCATGCGTACCGCGTGTGTGCGTGCATGGGAGGAGCTGTCAGGGCCTGATAGAGTGTCTTTACATGACGAGCAGCTGCTGAGGTCCGGGATGCGCGCTGGGCAAAGTGGAAAATAATGAACGGCGAACCGCTGCCAAACACTACAGAATCCATCTTTATTTGCCAACTGCTGCACGGCCCCGATTGTGTACAGCGGCAACCTGTCACCGCCCCGCCCTCTAGAACACACACACGCACACGTTAACCAAACGCAATCCAGAACACACATGGATGCAAATTTACATCCATGTTTTCTCGTGGCTCCAAAGCGCTTCGCAGCCCAACTTTGGCTTAAGAGGCCTTAACCGCGAGGGAGACTCGCCGATGGAGTCGATAA